TGTTTTGACCATGACAGCTTGCCATCTAGGGTTACACCCAGCAGTTTAATCTCCTCAACTTGCTCAATAGCCACATTATTAAATAATAGATCTAAACAAGGTTTAGCGTTGAGTGAGTGATTTGTCCCAAAAATTATGCTTTTAGTTTTTGAGATATTTAGCACCGGCCTATAGCTAGTTACCCATTCTAAAACTGACTGTGTTAAGTGTCCGTGTCTTACTGTTGCAGCCGACGTGTCTACTGTTGAGTTGTCTGCGTACATACATACACACAGGCTTTATTCAAGGTCAGTGAATTTGTAAAAATAGAAAACAATAAATGGCCCTAGCCGGCTGCCCTGCGGTACACCACACTCAACTGAATTAGCATGAGAAGCTTCGATTAACGAAAACCCTGTGTTCTACTAGATAGGTAATTCTCAATCCATAATAAGGCAGAGGATGCAAATCCATAACACCTACGTTTTTTCAGCAATAGGTTATGATCAATGACATCAAAAGCTGCACTGAAGTCTAACAAAACAGCTCCCACAATCAATTTCTTTCAGCCAATTATCAGTGCCGAGCATGTTGAGTGCCCTTCCCTATAAGCATGCTGAAAGTCTGTTTTCTGTAAAATAACTTTGTATTTGATCAACAACAAAAAATTCCACAAGTTTGCTAAGCACTTGTAACTGGCTGATTGGTCGGCTGTTTGGACCATTAAAAGGGTGCTCTGCTATTCTTAGGTAGCGGAATGACCTTTGCCTCTCACCATGTCTGAGGGCACACACCGTCTTCTAGGCTTAAATTGAAGATGTGGCAAACAAGAGTCACAACCTATTCCGCTACCAACCTGAGCAATTTACCATCCATGTTGTTGGTACCAGGTGGTTTGTCCGAATTTATAAATAGCTCCCCCAAAATATCACCTCTTCCACACCCACTTTGTGAAACTCAAAACTAAAATGCTTGTCTTTCATTATTTGGTCCATTATGCATGAATATGAAGGCTCAGCATTTGTTGTTTGCATGTCATACCTAAGTTTGCTAATATTGTCAACAAAAAAGGTATTAAAGTGGTTGGCAACAGCAAAGGTTTTTGTTATGAACTAGCAATCTGCCTCAATGAAGGATGGAGCAGTTTGCTTTTTTGCCTAGAATTTAATGTAAAGTACTCCAGCGCTTTTTACTATCAATCTTTATATCACTTATCTTTGTTTCATTGTGTAATTTCAGCTTTTTTGTTTAGTTACGTGATTTCTGAATTTACTGTATGTTTGCCAGTCTGCTGTGTTGTCAGACTTATTTGCTATTTCCTTTGCCTCATCCCTCTCAGCCATACAGTTTTTCAATTAAATCATCTATCCATGGGGATTTGGCAGTTCTTACAGTCAGTTTCTTGATGGGCGCATGCCTATCAGTAACCGGAAGAAGCAGTTTCATAAATGCTTAAAGTACAGTGTCCGGATGTTCCTCATAACACACACATCAGATCAACAAATTCATTAGGCCCTAATCTATGGATTTCACATTACTGGGAATACAGATATGCATGTGGACACCAATTCAAATTGGTGGATTTAGCTATTTCAGCCACACCCATTGCTGACAGGTGTATAAAATCGAGCACACAGCCATGCAATCTCCATAGACAAACATTGGCAGTGGAAGGGCCTTACTGAAGAGCTCAGTGACTTCCAAGGTGGTACCTTTCCAATAGGATGCCACCTTTCCAACAAGTCAGTTCATCAAATTTCTGCCCTGCTAGAGCTGCTCCGGTCGCAGTTATTATGAAGTGGAAACGTCTAGGAGCAACAACGGCTCAGCCGCGAAGTGGTAGGCCACACAAGTGCTTAAGAGAGTAAAAATCGTCTGTCCTCTGTTGCAACACTCACTGTCTCTGGAAGCAACATCAGCACAAGGAGGAATAATGGTGTGGGGCTGTTTTTCTTGGTTCAGCCTAGGCCCCTTAGTTTAAGTGAAGGGAAATCTTAACGCTACAGCATACAATGGCATTCTAGACTAACCAGAAATGGTTTGTCGAGATCGGTGTGGAAGAACTTGACTGGCCTGCACAGAGCCCTGACCTTAACCCCATCGAACACCTTTGGGATGAATTGGAACGCCGACTGCAAGCCAGGCCTAATCGCCCAAATCAGTGCCCGACCTCACGAATGCGCTTATGGCTGAATGGAAGCAAGTCCCCACAGCAATGTTCCAACATCTAGTGGAAAGCCCTTCCAGAAGAGTGGAGGCTGTAATAGCAGTAAAGTGGGAGGGGGACCAATTCCAGATTAATGCCCATGATTTTAGAATGAGATGTTGGATGAGCAGGTGTCCACATACATAAAATTAATTATTATTACCATACAGAGAATTACACAATGTAGGCTACCCCTCTGCCTATTAGCTTATTTGCATATTCAAGCCTGTCAAAATACAACACTGCCCCTTTAATTAAGACATAAGCTTTTTACCTGTCTGGCTTTTCAAAGACAGCTTGAAATGTAGCCTACATGTTTTGTGCTCTTCCAGGAAACAGCAACTCTCCATTGCTGACCTATCCTTATCTGTAACTGGGCTAATAACTCGCTAACTAGCAAAGAATATCAACAAATATGCACACGCACGGCTTCGCGCTCGGATCTGAAAAGCACATTCACTCATGGGTGATGGAAAGACCACTTATGGGCTACCACCGCCAATAGAATTCTACTCCGTTGCAGCCTGGCCCTGCCTACAACAAAATCACACTCAATCTTGCAAACGTTGCATTGAAAAGGGGCTGATATAATGTTGATTCGATCACAGAAAATACTTTGATCTATATAGTGCAAACTAATGCGGCGAACTCGGTGAAGTTCAATCTCTTGCATGGCATTTCTTCTGCGTGGCAGTCCCGTAGGAAGTGTGCGGCCGCGCGCGCAGCTTAGAGGGCACATTGCCTCAGACCACGACAATTTGGTTCCTCATCGGCATTTTGGGCTTTTTGAAAAGCGAGTTACAAATAAACTGTATTGTTATTATTCATTATATTTCTATGCACAAAAAAAGCCCACCTGTAGGATGTTGACGGGCAGGTCCACGGTGAGTTGGGAGTGGGAGCTGGAGGGCTGGGAGCTCAGCTGGAAGGCTAGGTCCCCGTCGCTGGCCGGGTCATCCTGACACACAGTTTAAATACTTCATTTGAATCCACAAATCACATTAAAAAGGATTCAAACATTCCAATGGTCATGCATGGACACACACTCATTTTATTTTGGTCTGTAATACATGCCTTCCTCTTTAGCATTCTTCTCTGTGCTATATATATATATATCTCACAAAAGTGAGTACACCCCTCACATCAGTGACAACACCGAAGAAATGACACTTTGCTACAATATAAAGTAGTGAGTGTACAGCTTGTATAACAGTGTAAATTTGCTGTCCCCTCAAAATAACTCACACAGCCATTAATGTCTAAACCGCTGGCAACAAAAGTGAGTACACCCCTAAGTGAAAATGTCCAAATTGGGCCCAAAGTGTCAATATTTTGTGTGGCCACCATCATTTTCCAGCACTGCCTTAACCCTCTTGGCTTCACAGGTTGCCACTGGAGTCCTCTTCCTCTCCTCCATGACGACATCACGGAGCTGGTGGATGTTAGAGACCTTGCACTCATACGTCTATTTCCCTAAGACAACCTCTGGATATGACGCTGAGCAGGTGCACTCAACTTCTTTGGTCGACCATGGCGAGGCCTGTTCTGAGTGGAACCTGTCCTGTTAAACCGCTGTATGGTCTTGGCCACCGTGCTGCGGCTCAGTTTCAGGGTCTTGGCAATCTTCTTATAGCCCAGGCCATCTTTATGTAGAGCAATAATTCTCTTTTTCAGATCCTCAGAGAGTTCTTTGCCATGAGGTGCCATGTTGAACTTCCAGTGACCAGTATGAGGGAGTGTGAGAGCGATGACACCAAATTTAACACACCTGCTCCCCATTCACACCTGAGACCTTGCAACACTAACGAGTCACATGACACCGGGGAGGGAAAATGGCTAATTGGGCCCAATTTGGACATTTTCACTTAGGGATGTACTCACTTTTGTTGCCAGCGGTTTAGACATTAAATGGCTGTGTGAGTTATTTTGAGGGGACAGCAAATTTACACTGTTATACAAGCTGTACACTCACTACTTTACATTGTAGCAGTGTCATTTCTTCAGTGTTGTCACATGAAAAGATATACTCAAATATTTACAAAAATGTGAGGGGTGTACTCACTTTTGTGAGATACTGTATGTATGTGTGTGTGTATATATATATATATATATATATATATATATATATATATATATATATATATATATACACACACACACACACAGTTGAAGTCGGAAGTTTACATACACTTAGGTTGGAGTCATTATAACTACTTTTTCAACCACTCCACAAATTTATTGTTAACAAACTATAGTTTTGGCAAGTCGGTTAGGACATCTACTTTGTGCATGACACAAGTCATTTTTCCAACAATTGTTTACAAACAGATTATTTCCCTTATAATTCAATGTATCAAAATCCAGTGGGTCAGAAGTTTACATTAAGTTGACTGTGCCTTTAAACAGCTTGGAAAATTCCAGAAAATGATGTCATGGCTTTAGAAGCTTCTGATAGGCTAATTGACATCATTTGAGTCAATTGGAGGTGTACCTGTGGATTTATTTCAAGGCCTACCTTCAAACTCTGTGCCTCTTTGCTTGACATTAAGGGAAAATCCAAAGAAATCAGCAAAGACCTCAGAAAAAAAATGGTAGACCTCCACAAGTGTGGTTCATCCTTGGGAGCAATTTCCAAACGCCTGAAGGTACCACGTTCATCTGTACAAACAATAGTACGCAAGTATAAACACCATGGGACCACGCAGCCGTCATACCGCTCAGGAAGGAGACGCGTTCTGTCTCCTAGAGATGAACGTACTTTGGTGCGAAAAGTGCAAATCAATCCCAGAACAGCAAAGGACCTTGTGAAGATGCTGGAGTAAACAGGTACAAAAGTATCTATATCCACAGTAAAACGAGTCCTATATCGACATAACCTGAAAGGCCGCTCAGCAAGGAAGAAGGCACTGCTCCAAAACCGCCATAAAAAAACCAGACTACGGTTTGCAACTGCACATGGGGACAAAGATTGGTACTTTTTGGAGAAATGTCCTCTGGTCTGATTAAACAAAAATAGAACTGTTTGGCCATAATGACCATCGTTATGTTTGGAGGAAAAAGGGGGTAGCTTGCAAGCCAAAGAACACCATCCCAACCATGAAGCACGGGGGTGGCAGCATCATGCTGTGGAGGTGCTTTGCTGCACGAGGGACTGGTGCACTTCACAAAATAGATGGCATCATGAGGAAGGAAGATTACGTGGATATATTGAAGCAACATATCAAGACATCAGTCAGGAAGTTAAAGCTTGTCGCAAATGGGACTTCCAATTGGACAATGACCCCAAGCATACTTCCAAAGTTGTGGCAAAATGGCTTAAGGACAACAAGGTCAAGGTATTGGAGTGGCCATCACAAAGCCCTGACCTCAATCCTATAGAACATTTGTGGGCAGGACTAGTTTTACTGTGGATATAGATAATTTTGTACCTGTTTCCTCCAGCATCTTCACAAGGTCCTTTGCTGTCGTTCTGGGATTGATTTGCACTTTTCGCACCAAAGTACGTTCATCTCTACAAGACAGAACGCGTCTCCTCTCCTGAGCGGTATGACGGCTGCGTGGTCCCATGGTGTTTATACTTTCGGAATATTGTTTGTACAGATGAACGTGGTACCTTCAGGCGTTTGGAAATTGCTCCCAAGGATGAACCACACTTGTGGAGGTCTACAATTTTTTTTGAGGTCTTGGCTGATTTATTTTGATTTTCCCACGATGTCAAGCAAAGAGGCACTGAGTTTGAAGGTAGGCCTTGAAATAAATCCACAGGTACACCTCCAATTGACTCAAATGATGTAAATTAGCCTATCAGAAGCTTCTAAAGCCATGACATCATTTTCTGGAATTTTCCAAGCTGTTTAAAAGGCACAGTCAACTTAATGTAAACTTCTGACCCACTGGAATTGTGATACAGTGAATTATAAGTGAAATAATCTGTCTGTAAACAATTGTTGGAAAAATTACTTGTAGATGTCCTAACAGATTTGCCAAAACTATAGTTTGTTAACAATACATTTGTGGAGTGGTTGAAAAAGTAGTTTTAATGACTCCAACCTGTAAATATCAGACTTCAACTGTATATATGACAGCATTCCAAATGTCCTAGTAGGAGAACCTTCTCACCTGCAAGAGTTGGATCTGCACATACTGGGCCCCGGTGACAGGGTCACGGATAGTCAGCCCCCCATTGGCTGCTGCAGAACCTTCACCAAAACGGGCGCTTGTGGGAACCAATGGCGTTGAGGTACTGCTGGCCTTCCAACCTTTACTCTTCCTCTGACCCAATCCTGAGCTCCCTGTAACAAGAAAGTATGAAATAGTTAAAACTATTACCACTAGCAGCTAAAACATATGAGACTAGTAACGTATCTTTAATTATGCTCTTTTGGTGCTCTTTTTTTTACGACAGATAAAACAGGAGCACAATCATATGAGAAGTTTCTATGATGCTCTTTTTTGAAGTCTATGAATAAAAATGAGCCCCGTTGTGAGTAGAGTGTGTGCTATAAATTACCTGAGCAGGCGGTGGGGCCTCTCTGTTTCCTCTTCTTGGCCAGCTGGATGGCTCTGTAGTCGGTGCGCGCTGAGCCACTACTTTCCTACAAGACAGACGGGAAAAGGGACACATGAGACAACTGCCGTGACTCAGAACATGTCTAGAAACGAGGACATATAACAATTACATCTTATCTCAACTGAATGGATTGATGTCAAATGGAGGATTTGGGGTAGGGAGATCTGACCCTAGATCTGTGGTTATTAAGGGCAACTTCCAATGAGAGTATACTAGTGTGTCTGTACTTAAAGAAAATCCTGCTCTCTGATTATTATTAAGTATATGCTTAGGTCTTAGGTGTTTTATGAACCATTCCACACCAGAAGTTCCCTCATAGGGAAAATACAGTTATTTGAATTTCATTCTTCAATGCTGTAACCAAAGCGTTCGTTAGTTAGCCACTCACCAGGAAGGAGCAGGGCGAGACTGCTGAGCTGTGGCTGAGCTCAGGCTCTTTCTGTGGGCCGAACGTGCAGCCGCCATGGCCAGGGAACACAAACTGGGTCAGCACCTTGCCCCCCTCCTGCTGCCCCAGCACCTCCACACAGCCCAAGAGAGGCCCGCTGCCACCCCTGCTCCCTCCAGCCTCAGCCACCTTAGAGGGGGACGAGAGGAGCTTGGTCCCAGGGAGCACAGCCAAGGGTGAGGGACTCGGCAGCCAGCGTGCTGGAGGAACTGAGGGGTGAGTGTACGGTGGTCCACGGTGGATGTGGCGGCCTGCATGGTGAGGGCTGTGAGGGAGCTGAGGGCCTCGGGGGTGACCGTCTGCACGTCGTCCAGGTTGAGTGTGCCCTGCGGGGGGAGGACTCCCTCGACCGTCCCCTCCAGGTGGCCCATGTCCGCCCCTGCCGCTAGGATGAGCGGGTCCATGGAGGCTTTGGCCAGGGTAGCGCCGTGCCTGGACGTGGCCAGGGCGGTGCCAACAGAAGCTGGGTCGATGGTGAGGATGCCCGAGCTGACCAGGGACAGGTCCATGGCGAAGGAGCCTGCTTGCCTTGTGCTGCCCACAGGCACCCCGACCCGCATGGGTGGTGGGCGCGGGACCCCCAAGCACAGCAGAGAACAGGGAGCTGAGATCCAAGTTGGCAAGCTGGTCGCTTCCGGTGACCCCCGAACTAGTTCCCGTGGCGGTGGCGCCGCTGACCAGCTCGCTGCTGGGGGTCAGAGTGGGTGTGGCCTCCAGCTGGCTTAGCACGTCTGATAGGAGGAAAGACACACAGTCATTACACAGGCAGTCCGTGTGTTTTGAGCATGTGTTTCTTGAGGAACAGAGTGTGTGTGTGATCCGTACCGGGGCTGAGGTGGTGGTGTTTGAGCATGTGTTTCTTGAGGAACAGAGTGTGTGTGTGATCCGTACCGGGGCTGAGGTGGTGGTGTTTGAGCATGTGGCTCTTGAGGCTACTGCGGGAGGAGAAGTGCTTGCTGCAGCTGGCCACTGGGCAACGCATCCTCAGGCTGCCCGCGTCCTGCTTGTGCTTCTTCGAATGGATATACAGGCTGCTCCGTGCTGAGAACTTGGCACTGCATCCTACACAGGCACACACACGTAAGAAGACACATTTAGCAGAGGCCCTTTAGAGAGCAGAGCATATCCAACTATAAACCAAAAGTGGTTCAGTCCAAAAATACTTTAAAAAAGGGGAAATTAATGTTTCGATTAACCATAAATGGATAAAAGGACGAGGCCAACGGTAAGAGAACAAAGCGTCTCAGAATAGACCATAGGAGTGATGACCTAGGATCAGGCCTCCCCTGTCCATGTCCATGTCGGCTAATCTTATTCACTATGGCAAACGCTGATCCTAGAACAGCTCATGATGACACCTACCGTCTACGTGGCACTCAAAGGGCTTGGTGCCCAGGTGGGTGATGCTGTGGCCCTTGAGGTGCTCTGCCCGGGTGAAGGACTTGCCACAGCCCTCCTCTGGGCAGGTGAAGCGCCTGTCGTCGTCGTGCTTCCTGAAACAGCAGAGGGTGGGGTCAATGTGGTTCAAGGTTAAATGTATTTGTCATATGTATACAAATATAATGAAATGCTTACTCCTATGGCTAAGGGAGATTGAGCTATGGGTTTGCTGGCATTTCAGAAAGGAACACATAAAACGAGATGAGTTTTGTAATGGCAAGATGCTTTGGATAAAAGCGTCTGATAAATGACCATATTATTATTACTGTATTATCAATTAGGGAAGAGTCTGACACTGAACTATAAATCCAACACTTTCACACAGGAGTGACAATTGGATAGGACAGTTAGGAGAGGCTCTAAACTAGAACAGAGGCCGCACACCATCACAATACCTAAACAACTGAGGGATGGACAGTTGAGTGAGGGACAGCGTTAAGTTACCTTTTGTGCCTCAGTAACTTGGACATGCTGGTGAAGGACCAGCCACAGGCCTCTGAGTCGCAGATGAATGGCCTCTCACCTGAAACCGAAAGGGAGACTTAGCCTAGGCCTGAGCAACTATACTACTGGTGAAACACAGACAACATAATATGAATTTGTGTCTGTTTTGATATCAATATCATATCAAAGTGTATTGGTCATGTACACAGATTCGCAGGTGTTATAGCAGGTGCAGAGAAATGCTTATGTTACTAGCTCCAACAGTGCAGTAGAATATACACTATATATACAAAAGTATGTGGACACCCCTTCAAATTAGTGGATTAGGTTATTTCAGCCACACCCGTTGCTGACAGGTGTATACATTTGTGCAGACAACCATGCAATCTCCATAGACAAATATATACGTTGAAAGTCACTGAAGAGCTCAGTGACTTTCAACGTGGCACCGTCATAGGATGCCACCTTTGTAACAAGTCAGTTGGTAAAACGTATGCCCTGCTAGAGCTGCCCCGGTCAACTTTAAGTGCTGTTATTGTGAAGTGGAAACGTCTAGGAGCAACAATGGCTCAGCTGCGAAGTGGTAGGCCACACAAGCTCACAGAACGGGACCGCCGAGTGCTGAAGCGCGTAAAAATCGTCTGTTCTCGTTTGAAACACTCACTACCGAGTTCCAAACTGCCACTGTAATCAACGTCAGCACAAGAACTGTTCGTCGGGAGCTTCATGAAATGGGTTTCCATGGCCGAGCAGCCGCACACAAGCCTAAGATCACCATGCGCAATGCGAAGCGTCGGCTGGAGTGGTGTAAAGCTCGCCGTCATTGGACTCTGGAGCAGTGGAAACGTGTTCTCTGGAGTGATGAATCACGCTTCACCATCTGGCAGTCCGACGGATGAATCTGGGTTTTGCGGATGCCAGGAGAACGCTACCTGCCCCAATGCATAGTGCCAACTGTAAAGTTTGGTGGAGGAGGAATAATGGTCTGGGGCTGTTTTTCATGGTTCGGGCTAGGCCCCTTAGTTCCAGTGAAGGGAAATCAATGCTATAGCATACAATGACTTTCTAGACTATTCTGTGCTTCCAACTTTGTGGCAACAGTTTGGGGAAGCCCCTTTCCTGTTTCAGCATGACAATGCCCCCATGCACAAAGCGACATCCATACAGAAATGGTTTGTCGAGATCGGTGTGGAAGAACTTGACTGGCCTGCACAGAGCCCTGACATCCACCCCATTGAGCACCTTTGGGATGAATTGGAACGCCGACTGCGAGCCAGGCCTAGTCGCCCAACAGCAGTGCCCGACCTCACTAAGCCTCTTGTGGCTGAATGGAAGCAAGTCCCTGCAGCAATGTTCCAACATCTAGTGGAAAGCCTTCCCAGAAGAGTGAAGGCTGTTCCAGCAGCAAAGTATGATAACATTTCAGGTGGATGCTACTCATTAAAATGTAAAGTGCACTGAGACCTTTTAAAAGAGATAAGGCTATATAAACACATATCAATCACTATGAAGTACCTGTGTGGCTGCGCATGTGGATCTTGAGGCGGCAGGCCTTATCGTAGAACTTGTCGCAGCCTGGATAGGTGCAGATGAACTGGCCCGTCTCGCGGAAGTGTGTGCGGTTGTGGGAGAACAGGGCACTGTAGGTGATGAAGGTCTTCTCACAGCCTGAGGAGAGAGACACACAGGCAAGGGTTAAATACACAGGCACATAAAAAGTTACTTCTGTGACAATGAAAGGCAATGACAATATATATGAATACACGTGCATATAAAACAGGAATTAATGTTCAGAATGAAGTTTCAATGTCACATGCACAAGTACAGTGAAACGCCTTTCTTGTAAACTCAAAAGGCATTTCACTGTACTTGTGCATGTGACATTGAAACTTCATTCTGAACATTAATTTCACCTGAACAACTATTTCATGGGCAATTCCAATGGTAACAGAATGACGCGGAGACTACGATATTTCACTTTAAATTGTATGCCAAACAAAAACTATTGATTGCAAAGTTCAAGAAACCATACACAACTAATTGCACAAGGACTAATTTCAAACATTTTCACTGAAAATATTACAAAAACACATTCTTTAAGAACAGTGCAGATGTTAAGTTTCGTAACAGTTTTCCAAAAACGTTCACTGAATGAAGACTCAAAGATGTCTGCATTAAGAATGTGTGTGTCAGCTTTGATATATTCTGGTTATTGAACTCAAGTAAATTAAGTGGATTAACACCGGATAACAGAATGACATCATGGGTTTGTATGGACTGGACCAAATCTGAAACAATCATAGACGTCTATGTTTCACAAGTTTGGACATCACAGCAGAGTACAGAACAGCAGAGTAGACTACAGTCGAGTTTAGCACAATACAGTAAATATAAAATATACTGTACTCTAGTGTGCTCTACAGTACAGTACTAAACTCTACTGTAGCGTAATGTGCTGTCCAATCTTGTGAAACAAAGACGTCTACGATTGGTTCAGATTTGGACTGACCAAATTAAATATAAATGTTGATATTAGTTGGCAACGGTCTTAACTTCAACATTGTGTTTTGATGCATTTCTAATACCTTAAGAATGTCTGGTAAATGTTTTCTAAGACCCCTTTTCCATCTGTTTGACCAGACGTCAAAGCCTTTCCTTATTCCTAATTTTAGGATGGAAAATGTATATATGGCTTAATTTCTCACAAATACAGACTCAGCTTTAATTTGACAAAGTTGATGTGCTCTAATGAACTTCACGTTGGTGCTCGTGGGTCCTTTTACATGGAAATGGCCTTATTCTGATTGAATTGTGCATGGAAACGTGGTCAATGATTTAACACAAACAAACATGAGTCAAATTCAACCACACTAAAAGATGTTTGCCTCACCTGGAAACTCACACTTGTGCGGCCTCTCGGGTTCAAAATGGGCCCGCTGGTGATTGGTCAGCCGGGTAGCGCTGCGGAAGCGCTCGCTGCAGATTTCGCACACGAAGGAGTTTTCTTGGTCGTGCTGCTTCACATGTGCCTTCAGGTTGTAGACCGTGGTGAAGCGGCGGCCGCAGCCCTCCCACTCGCACTTGTGCGGCCGCACCTTGTCGTGAGACTGGAGGTGACGTTTGAGCTTGTAGGAGGTGGTGAAGGCCCAGCTGCAGCCCTCAAAGGTGCACTTGAAAGGCCTCTGGTCCTCGGTGTGGTTGAGAAGGTGCATCTTGACCTTTTGGCGTGCGTCGAAGGTGCTGGGGCAGTCGGGCTGGGGGCAGCGGTACGTCGTGACTAAGGCACCTTTCTTGGAGAGTCCTGAAGAGCCGATGAAGCCGACAGGCTGGAAGTCGTCATTGTCGTCACAGTCAACGAAAGAACCCTCTGGGCGCAGGGACACCAAGTCACCCTCGCTTATGGCACTCAGAGACCCACTCTCCTGCTTGATGACTGGGTACGAGTCCAGAGAGGTGCCCAACTCTGACAATGAACAATGGTCAGCCAGAGCCAGTTCAGAGTCGCTTGCGGACATACCAAGCCTAGGCTCTTCGTGGTGACCAGTCCGAATAACTGCCACGTTGCTGATTTTCCCAATGGATTTGGTCCCGCTGTCATAGTTGAGAAGCACTATGTCCTCGTGGTCTTTCATTCCAAGGTGTTCCTTCAAGCCAACCATTCCGTCATCTTTGTGGGTGTAACCCTCTGGAGGTGCTGCTAGAGTCAGCATCCCGTTTTCTATGGTTACTATGATGCTTTGGTTGTTTATCATGATGGTTCCAGAGAAGGTCTCGTTGGCAGAGGCACTGTTGGAGGCCCCATCTGCATTGGCGGAAGCAGAGAGGCTCGTGCCAGCGTCGGAAATTAAGTCGGAAGTGTCCATAGCGTCGCTCAGTTCCACTGTTTCCACGATATAGGTGTTTTCTGAAATCAAGGCACTGCTTTCTCTAGCTTCGGGCTGAGAAGGTAATTCGTCTGCCGCGCCATTGCCAATGTTTTCAAGGTGGCCGCATATGTTATCGCCATATTCGTTTGTTAAAACAGCGTTTTCATTCTCCGTTTCATAACACACAGACTGTTTCTCATTCGGTACAGTTGTATCACCCTCACTATTTGAACTTGAATTTAAGACACTACACAGAGGAATAGTTATTTTCAAGGCCCTGGCTGCTAAATTGTTCAAGTTCTCATCTGATTCAGTAAGGGCATTGGTGTTTTGAACCTCCATCGAATTACATGGATTGATTTTGGAATGTTCAAGCTTCTTACCGCTTATTGTATCTCCATCTTTAGATGGATTTCCCAGTCTGTCTTTATTTGTGCCATTGCCATCATCTTGGACAATATTGAAGACCACATACAATTCCTCGGTGTTTTTATTCGCGCTAACCGTGGTGTTGCTCCTATAGGCCGCCGTGCTCTCGCTCGCCAATGACTGCAACAGGGACGCGCCGCCTTCATGTTGCTGCCGTAAAACCGGAGTTTGCAGTTGCTGCGAATGTTCCTCTTCCCCCTCAAAGAAAGGCAACGCCATTTGCAATATGCTATCCCCACTTTCAACATCATATTTGTAACCCGTTCTCAAAAAATCTTGTGGATGTAATTGTGTGTTCAGCTCCCTTTCTTTCAAAGTATTCACGTTACGGAGTCCCACACTCGCTGTTTGGGCTTGAAGTGGGCTATTATTTTTACCGTTCTGCTTGCAGACGGGCAGGCAAGCACCGCTGCCATTTTCTGCCAGCAGGCGAAATGGAGATGTCCTCGGTCTATTGTTGTTGTTGTCGCTTTGTAGTTCGTGCGATTCCAAATTCTCTTCTGCTTCATTCGAAATGGAGCGAGAAAGTGTCGTTGTCCTAAGCTGAGACGAGCCTGTTCTACGTGGGGCGCCATGTTGATAATAAATGTTTTGGGCATCAGAAAGCCCCTGGATTTCCATCTTGGTATCCCTGTAGCAAGCCGCAGTGCATAAAAGGCCCGCCCTTCACACAAATGTGGAAGGCGATCCGGTAAACCACTCTGAAGTTAATCGTGAACCTTGGCCAGAATGGATGGATAACAAACCGATGGAATGGAACTATTTGTATCTTATTTCAAAACCATTCAAACGCCCTGCTGTGCCGTAACACATCCTCGTTACATTCATGTTATCATTGTCATGAGTCTTTTCTGAAAGCAAAATTAGTTTAGCATTGTATGTGCTCTAAAAAACAAATACATTACACCAATTGTAAGTCGCTCTGGATAAGAGCGTCTGCTAAATGACGTAAATGTAATTACGGGATATGTATTATTGAGGACCACTAGGTGGCACTATAAGCAAAGTTCTGTGCAAACGATTTTACATAGTTCAAACAAAATTCTAACCTTTCAAAGGAGAACAACACATCAAAAGTACTAATTCATTAATATCTTTAAAATGAAACAAACGTTTAATTGTCTTATGTTTGAATGGTAACTTCTATATGCCCTTAACATTAATTCTCTAAATTACTTTGAGGTCACCTGTGCATGCAACTCTTGATAGTCTGTCTGTAGGCCTCTCTATGCACACTAATATACACTTTATGGTCAACGTACAATCAGTAATGTCATTAATATATAATGCGTTTGAATGTGTTAATGTAACTAGAAATAGTGTATTTTCTTTCGTATGAAAGTCTCTCAGTATTAGTAATTCACTGTGAGGCACAAATCTTTCTCTAAGATTCACAGATTTCCATGTATGCCTATTCGGAATAAACATAAATAGTTACAGACTACAGTCCAGGCAGACATCCACCATGCACAATAATAATGAATATGATGATTTATTTCAGGGGAGTGAGATGCACTGTCCAGGTCGCTGACCTTTCTTAAAGCATGCATGATTATGTTAATTCCAAGAACAAACATCATCTGCCAACTTTAATACCGAGATAAGTCTTAATAATATATCTTTATTTGATTTCTAAGATAAGCTATATAAAACAAATGGACAAACTTACAAAGATTTTGACCAACACAAACAGACGAGGAATAACATAGATATACATTTACAGAATCATTATAGAAAGAAAATCAGGAGGAAGACAGATCACATAATATTCTGTACATGGACTAAGATATATTTACATTAGGTATACTTGTAAGCAAAAGCTATCACAAAACGCTTGAATGGGCAAAGGGGATTGTAAGCGGCATATAGTTTATGTCTGTCAAGCCTAGTTCAACGAGAAGGTGAAACTTATACTGTACACAGAACACAGCCAGACATTCATGCTTTATGCAAAAATATTCAACAGGTGATGTGAATTGAAGTTTGGTACTTTATAACACTGCTACACGCATGCACTATGTTTAAACGTTGTGTCTACTAGAATTCTATCTACTACTCAAATACTCCATTATCTTTTTCAGTTTTTATATTGGCAGTTCCTGTATACTATGCAGTGTACAACAAAGAACATTTACGGAATTCAATACACAATCCGATCTCATACAAAACCAATCCAACATAGAACACTCGTCAAATATTTAGGAATGTTTTAGTCAATTTAAAATGTGAATAACGGTTATTCTCGACGACCACAACCATCAGAAATGTGTTGACTAATCAGGTTAGCGTGCAAAATAATGGAATTATGACTTGCATTGAATCATATAAAAATATAATCCTGCCTAACACACACTTGTGGGATTATGACAGAAATAAGGCCACATATCCAAGTCATAAGACAACCCTTCATACTACTGTCCATCTTATGATAAAGCTCCTGTTGACTTACTGTTACAATGCCCCAAATGCTTGATCATTTCACAAAAGTTTGGTGACAAATGTTTCCCTAATGCTTTATCTCTTCCCAGGGTATCTAAGGGCCACTCCCAAATTTCCCAATACGGTTTATCTCCAAGCATTCTCCTTAAGTGCTGTAGGAAAAAGGAACGACGACATTTGGCACGACATCAACTAACTGTTGTTGTGCAATTTACTTACAGAGAAATCCAATTGGTTGAAGATAAGCCATGTCTGTTTTTGGCACATTACCAGAAAGCTGTCAGAGGTTAATGGCAATCTTTTTAGTAGTAGTAACCACCACTATGGTGGAGTGAGTGAGTGAAAAGAGAGAAGAAATTGTGTATATAGTATGAGTGAGAGAAATCAAACGAGTCAGAATAGAGACTTGACTGCGAACAAAATCTGTGTTTGAATGATCCCTTATAGACAGGAATTTCTCAAAGAACAAAGGTATAATAAACAAATAAGAATGCATTACATGCATTGTAAATAAACTTGTGTAGAGCCTATGAGCCCAGCCAAAACAACAATGAACATATAGACCCATATCTCAGAAACCAGAGCTTTGGTGGAAAGAAACCATGCATCAATTTGCAAAGTAAAGCAGCCCATTGCAACTCCTTCGAAACAGGCTTAGTGGCGAGGGACCACACCTTTGAGAACAACTTATACTGAGGCACACTTTCTTTCTCTCCTCTCCTCTTTCTAGCAAAAATGTTCTAAGCACTTAGAGTTTGAAAGACGGAGCAGGTTTTGCCAGCATTGACCAAAAGCTTGGAAAAGTTTACATTTGGAAGGGGGAAATCAAGTAGAAGTTAAACATTTTTTGGACTAGGTACTGTGGTATATTCAGACCAGTGCTTGGGTCAGAAAGAACCTGTGCAGGCATGTCAGTTGGACGTCAGACGATCAGTTGTATGGTGGTAGAAAAATAAATAGGGGTGCTAAAGCTGGGGGTATTTCAAGGTATTTCCATCTCAAGCCAATTTTAATTTTGAAGATGAACGCTTCGCTCTCAACAGGAGTACGCATTGCCAGCCAGCAGGCCTTTAAGTTATTTCAATATTCACACATCCTGTCTCTGAATTTATTTTCTGATCTGAAACATAGAGCTTTCACAGGCCATCATATGAAATATATATACATTTCAACATGAGGAATATATCAGTAATATATAGAATATATTTTTCATGAAGTAACGTGGCTAAGATATCAAACTACATACAAACAGTGCCTTCGGAAAGTATTCCGACCCCTTGACTTTTTCCACATTTTGTTATGTTACAGCCTTATTCTAAAATTGATTAAATCGTTTTTTCCCCCTCATCAATCTACACACAATACCCCATAATAACAAAGCAAAAACAGGTTTTATAAATTTGAGCAAATTTATAAAATACAATAAAAACCGAAATATCACATTTACATAAGTATTCAGACCCTTTACTCAGTACTTTGTTGAATAACCTTTGGCAGCTATTACAGCATTGAGTCTTCTTGGGTATGACGCTACAAGCTTGGCACACCTGTAGGCTGCTGCCTCTCTAACCTGGTGGTCCCTGCACGCACCACACACCTGGAGTTCCAGGTCTCAGGCAGCCTCTGGAACTGCCGTTCTGCCGCCAACAAGGCTGACTTCATCCCAGCCTATGCTACCCTCCAGTCCCTCGACTTCCTGGCGCTGACGGAAACATGGATTACCACTGAAAACACTGCTACTCCTACTGCTCTCTCCTCGTCTGACCATGTGTTCTCGCATACCCCGAGAGCATCTGGTCAGAGGGGTGGTGGCACAGGAATCCTCATCTCTCCCAAGTGGTCATTCTCAATTTTTCCCCTAACCCATCTGTCTATCTCCTCATTTGAATTCCACGCTGTCACAGTCACTAGCCCATTTAAGCTTAATATCCTTGTCATCTATCGCCCTCCAGGTTCCCTTGGAGAGTTCATCAATGAGCTTGACGCCTTGATAAGTTCCTTTCCTGAGGATGGCTCACCCTTCACAGTTTTGGGGGATTTCAACCTCCCCACGTCTACATTTGACTCATTTCTCTCTGCCTCCTTCTTTCCACTCCTCTCCTCTTTTGACCTCACCCTCTCACCATCCCCCCCCACTCACAAGGCAGGCAATACGCTTGACTTCATCTTTACTAGATGTTGCTCTTCTACTAATCTCACTGCAACTCCCCTCCATGTCTCCGACCACTACTTTGTATCCTTTTCTCTCTCGCTCTCCTCCAACACTACTCACTCTGCCCCTACACAGATGGTAACGCGCCGCCGCAACCTTCGCTCTCTCTCTCCCACTACTCTCTCCTCTTCCATCCTATCATCTCTTCCCTCTGCTCAATCTTTCTCCCTCCAATCTCCTGATTCTGCCTCCTCAACCCTCCTCTCCTCCCTTTCTGCATCCTTTGACTCCCTGTGTCCCCTATCCTCCCGGCCGGCTCGGTCCTCCCCTCCAGCTCTGTGGCTTGATGACTCATTGCGAGCTCACAGAACAGAGCTCCGGGCAGCTGAGCGGAAATGGAAGAAAACTAAACTCCCTGCCGACCTGGCATCTTTTCACTCCCTCCTCTCTACATTTTCTTCATCTGTTTCTGCTGCTAAGGCCACTTTCTACCACTCTAAATTCCAAGCATCTGCCTCTAACCCTAGGAAGCTCTTTGCCACATTCTCCTCACTGCTGAATCCCCCCCCCCCCCCTCCTCCCTCTCTGTGGATGACTTTGTCAACCACTTTGAAAAGAAGGTTGACGACATCCGATCCTCGTTTGTTAAGTCTAATGACACTGCTGGTCCTGCTCACACTGCCCTACCCTATGCTTTGACTTCTTTCTCCCCTCTCTCTCCAGATAAAATCTTGCGACTAGTGACTGCAGGCCGCCCAACAACCTGCCCGCTTGACCCCATCCCCTCCTCTCTTCTCCAGACCATCTCCGGTGACCCTCTCCCCTACCTCACCTCGCTGATCAACTCATCCTTGACCGCTGGCCATGTCCCTTCCGTCTTCAAGAGAGCGAGAGTTGCACCCCTTCTCAAAAAACCAACACTCGATCCCACTGATGTCAACAACTACAGACCAGTATCCCTTCTTTCTTTTCTTTCCAAAACTATTGAGCGTGCCGTCTTTAGCCAACTCTCTTGCTATCTCTCTCAGAATGACCTTCTTGATCCAAACCAGTCAGGTTTCAGGACTGGTCATTCAACTGAGACTGCTCTTCTCTGTGTCACGGAGGCTCTCCGCACTGCTAAAGCTAACTCTCTCTCCTCTGCTCTTGTCCTTCTAGACCTGTCTGCTGCCTTTGATACAGTGAACCATCAGATCCTCCTCTCCACCCTCTCCGAGCTGGGCATCTCCGGCGCGGCTCACTCCTGGATTGCGTCCTACCTGACCGGTCGCTCCTACCAAGTGGCGTGGCGAGAAGCTGTCTCCGCACCACGTGCTCTCACCACTGGTGTCCCCCAGGGCTCAGTTCTAGGCCCTCTCCTTTTCTCCCTATACACCAAGTCACTTGGCTCTGTCATATCCTCACATGGCCTCTCCTATCATTGCTACGCTGACGATACACAACTAATCTTCTCCTTTCCCCCTTCTGATAACCATCTGGCGAATCGCATCTCTGCATGTCTGGCCGACATATCAGTATGGATGACGGATCACCACCTCAAGCTGAACCCTGGCAAGACGGAGCTGCTCTTCCTCCCGGGGAAGGACTGCCCGTTCCATGATCTCGCCATCACGGTTGACAACTCCGTTGTGTCCTCCTCCCAGAGTGCGAAGAGCCTTGGCGTGACCCTGGACAACACCCTGTCGTTCTCCGCCAACATCAAGGCGGTGACCCGATCCTGCAGGTTCATGCTCTACAACATTCGGAGAGTACGACCCTGCCTTACACAGGAAGCGGCACAGGTCCTAATCCAGGCACTTGTCATCTCCCGTCTGGATTACTGCAACTCGCTGTTGGCTGGGCTCCCTGCCTGTGCCATTAAACCCCTACAACTCATCCAGAATGCCGCAGCCCGTCTGGTGTTCAACCTTCCCAAGTTCTCTCACGTCACCCCCCTCCTCCGCACACTCCACTGGCTTCCAGTTGAAGCTCGCATCCGTTACAAGACCATGGTGCTTGCCTATGGAGCAGTGAGGGGAACGGCACCTCCGTACCTTCAGGCTCTGATCAGTCCCTACACCCAGGCGAGGGCATTGCGTTCATCCACCTCTGGCCTGCTGGCTCCCCTTCCTCTGCGGAAGCATAGTTCCCGCTCAGCCCAGTCAAAGCTGTTCGCTGCTCTGGCACCCCAATGGTGGAACAAGCTCCCTCACGACGCCAGGACAGCGGAGTCACTCACCACCTTCCGGAGACATTTGAAACCCCACCTCTTTAAGGAACACCTGGGATAGGATAAAGTAATCCTTCTACCCCCCCCCCCCCCCCCCCCCCCAAAAAAAAAAAAAAGTATAATTGTAAAGTGGTTATCCCACTGGCTATAGGGTGAATGCACCAATTTGTAGTCGCTCTGGATAAGAGCGTCTGCTAAATGACGTAAATGTGCCCTTGAGCAAGGCACTTAACCCTAATTGCTCCTGTAAGTCGCTCTGGATAAGAGCGTCTGCTAAATGACTAAAATGTAAATGTAAATGTATTTGGGGATATGAACCAGGTGTGTGTAATTGACAAGACAAGACAAATGTAATGATGAGATATGGAGTGGTAGTGGCTAGTAGGCCGGTGACGACGAACGCCGAAGACTGCCCGAACAAGGAGGGGAGGCAGCTTCGGAGGAAGTCGTGACACTCATGGCTTGGTTTTTGCTCTGACATGCACTGTCAACTGTGGGACCTTATATAGACAGGTGTGTGCCTTTCCAAATAATGTCCAATCAATTGAATTTACCACAGGTGGACTCCAATCAAGTTGTAGAAACATCTCAAGGATGATCAATGGAAACAGGATGCACCTGAGCTCAATTTCGAGTCTCATAGCAAACGGTCTGAAAACATATGTAAATAAGGCATTTTTTATTTATTTGTAATACATTTCCAAAAAGTTATAAAAACCTGTTTTCGCTTTGTCATTATGGGGTATTGTGTGTAGATTGCTGAAAAATCAATTTTAGAATAAGGCTGTAACATAACAAAATGTGGAAAAAGTCAAGGGGTCTGAATACTTTCTGAAGGCACTGTAGTGAGGACTGGAATAAAACAATATATTCACTATACAATCGCCCCCTGGGCAAGAGGAACCAGTCCTTGAACAAGGACATGATGTACAGATATATGAACACAATGGGCATTTCTCAATATGCATACTACCTTGCGCCACACTCTCATGCTCCGAGTGCATTCTCTGACCACGTTCTCTTGAGTACGTTTGTTTGAGGACGAGAGTGTGGAGAATGCATAAAACAATACATTTGAGAAGCACTCACACTCCCCCTACTGTATTACCTCACGCTTCACCTCCCCATTCACTGAACCTTCTTACAGCCAGGACAATGGCAACAATGGACGAAACAAGATATACACAAAGCAAACGTTTTACTTCGTAATTATCAGCTAGATATGTGAATCGTAATAATCTAGCTAGCCAGCTAGTTAAACAAGCAAAAATGACCTAAAACTAATGTTATGCAAGGTAGATGTACATTTGTTGTGGGTAGCTACCAATTCTTCATGGCTAGCTAGCTAGCCAATAAGCCCTATTGACTTACTATGGACTTACCCATTCACTGAACCGCCTTCCAGCCAGGACAACAATGGCAATAGACGAAACAGGATATACACAAAGCAACCATTTTACTTCATAACTGTCAGCTAGCTATATGTGAATATATATATGTGAATCATAATAATGTAGCTAAACAGATAGTTTAACATGCAAAAATGACCTAAAACTAATATTATGCCATATAGATTCTTCGTGGGTTGCTAGCTAACCATTCTTCGTGGTTATCTGGCTAGCTAACAGCACTAGTTGCTAGCCAGTTTGCCCTATTGACTTATTATAGGCTTATTATGGGCTTTAGCTCAAATAATGCAGGCATTGATTTCAATAAATTTTGCGTAATTTTTTACGTGGTTGCTTCATATTCCTTTGCATACTTTCCATTGAAGCTCGCATCGATGCATGCTTCAAAGTAAATACAAATGGAGCACGCATTCAAGTAGTGCCCTCCGTGCTCCGTTTTGCATACTTTGATTTACTCATACTCCGACCCTCCCGTGCTCCAATTTGTGTGCTCGGACCACGGTAGAATGCATTTTGAGAAACACCCAATGACTCCAGATGCCGAGGCTGAGACCTCAACCGTCCAGAGACGCCATCTTGTTTCTGTCTCCCTTGTTTTGCGAAACTCATCCAAAAGCTTTCAGAAATGCCCTGAGAAGAAACCATACATGAATAGACTTCCTGTGCCTTTCACTTGTTTTGGATATTAACCGGCTGTCCCACTTTCTTCAGTGTTTGTACAGTGTCATTATACACATGGAAAATATACATTGGCCAGAAAGTGGACAAAGTAAAGTACTGGCATTGCAACCCAAGTGGCCAATTTGTTTCTGTTTCTGTTTCGGACCACAAAAAGATGTGGGAATGAAACACTCATTGCATGCGGGGCTAGTGAGGCATAGGAAAACATGTGAACATTGATTGCTCTTTCTGTCCATTGAAAAGCCCACAAACTCTAGCTCTTTCCAAAGTTCAACCGTGACCACTCCCTGACCCCTGCATAAAAAAATAAGCTAAGGGGTCAGTGAGGGGTTGTTGACAGCAGAAGCAGTTCCAACAGTTCTTGCTTCAAAGGTCACGCTGCATTTGACCCCTGTTGAGCTGTACAGTTGTTACATCACAGCAGGGCGATGTGTTCACCAGGCAGGACATCGCTACGGTAGTATGTGGGTGTGTGTGTGTGTGTGTGTGTGCGTGCATGTGCACCCCAATGGCTTCAGTGTGTGTTTCTTCAGGTATTCGCTGCAACTGAAAATGGTCCAAACCATGGCCCTAAACCCAAGAACCCCAGACCTCACCCCCACACAAACCCCTCTCTCAGATGTGCAGGTTGTGGAGTCCTAGCGGGGTGGTAGTGGTGGTGGAGGAGGCGGACCGGGGCTCGATGTCCCTCGTCTTCATGAAACCGAGCAGCTGCTCAGGGATTTCTGCCAACACGTCCTTGGCCAGCCGTGCCATGCTCAGCACCTGGTTGCCCTGGCGGTCTATGTAGTCCCGGAAAGGCACAAACTGGACTATGTCTCGCTCGGCATTGCGCCCCTTAGAGGACACTCTGACCTCGTCACCGTCCAGTTCCTCCATCGCTACGGAGCAGAAACAGACAGAGGCAGAGGTAGCGATATGCGGTAGAGGCAGGGAAAGAGAGGGAGTCATAGACAGAGACAGAGAGCGTAAAAGACAGTGTCAGAGACCGAGAGTCAGAGTCAGGGACAGACACAGAGACAGAGATGATGGCACATACATCCATTGTTAGACATAATGTTATATGTGTTATTAATGTGTGTATATATGGCACCCTATCAGTGGAGGCTGCTGAGGGGAGAACGGCTCATAATAATGGCCGGAACGGAGCAAATTGAATGGCATCAAACACCTGGAAACCATGTGTTTGATGTATTTGTTACCATTCCGCTGATTCCGCTCCAGTCATTACCACGAGTCCATTCTCCCCAATTAAGGTGCCACTAACCTAGGTGCCACTAACCTCCTGTACACATTATGTCACTTTGTTTGCCAAAAGTGCAACTAATAAAATAATAGTCGGACAAAGACATAATTCTTTACATAAAACCCCCAGTGCAAACATATTTTAAAAACATATTCCTGAAACTTCCTTCTTACATTATTAGGACTGATTTTAATATAACCAACGGAATCCTGGAGTAGAGAGGAGCTGGGAGGCAGATGCCTGGCCATCCCTGTGGGACTATACATTGGGGTTCACACTGAAGTCTTTGAGAGCCTCAGCCATGGGCAGCATCCCAAAACTCCTCAATACCCACCCTCCCTCATCCCCTCTCCTCCAGGACCAGTGATCTGAAAAGCACTGGATAAGTGAAGGCAATGGGCTGGAGACCTATCCAGTGCTTTCACCTATCAGTGGTCATGAAGGAAAGGAAGCCACTTATACCTATTGGGACGTGGTCATGCAGCATGTTTGGAAAGGACCACTGAATGGAGACTGGGGATTTTATACATGGCTTTACGGATCTAAAAGATGGCTGTAGGGTATAGCAGTGCAGAGAGGAGGAGAGAAAGACGGGAGAGAGAGAGGAAGAGAGAGGGGGTGAAGGGACAGCAGGAGGCAGGGAAGTGGGGCTGGTGTCTTGGGTAAACCCAGGCATGTGGGGGGCATCCCCTGAGTCACTTTGACTTATACAAAGCCTTCTGCTCCCTTGAATGTCACATACATGCACACATACACACGCACACCGCCTTCTGTTTGCCGTGAATGTTACACACATGACACACGTGGGAGTGTGTGTACACACAGGCACAGGAGTGCTTAGTACACACTGATGATGCACATACGTTCACTCCACACACATATGCACACAAACACCCACAGGCACACAGGTGCATCCAAACAGATGCCCACATGCAGACTTCATGGGAACACGTGGGGAATTTTGGAGAGAGGAACATGGCATGATGGAAATATTTGAAGAAGGGAAAGATAAGAGAGGAAAGGAGGTTAATAGCAGAGGAGAGAAGATGGTGCTTTGTGCTTTAGGGTTGCACTCAAGTGTGTGTGTGTGAGAGAGAGACGGTCTGTTTGCACAGGCTCCCTGTGGAGAGAAAGAGCTCCCAGTTTCCCTCTGACTGAGCAAGAGGAGGATAAGAGAGCTCAGATGAGTCAAATACCCCTCCTCCTATAGTCTCTCTCTCTCTCTCTCTCTCTCTCTCTCTCTCTCTCTCTCTCTCTCTCTCTCTCTCTCTCTCTCTCTCTCTCTCTCTCTAAAAAAATACACACACTAGAAACTCACACATAGGCAGGCACGCGCATGCACCCCCCCCTACAGCAGCCACCCCTGACCCCTCGCACAGCCCTGTGTAGTGTGTAATAGGTCCCAAAGAGACCCCCTTGTCGTTAGGCATGAATAATTTCCCCTTTTCTGCTTCCCTTCCCCAACTACCGGCATTATCTTTAATTCAAATCACTTTGCCAATTAACTTTTGGAATAGACATAATGCATAATAAGTGTGCTCCAGTGTTTGCACAATTACTTTGGGAGTCTCTCTGCTTTGTTTAGCTGCTCTCTTGTTAGCTGAAGAGCTCAGCTTTCCAGCACAACTCTTTCTCACTATGCCAGGAGGAGTGTACACAGCAGAGGCGGTCAATGCCATTTAAGCTGAGAGAGGACAATTCTTTTTTATGAGCAGGGTCTTATTTCTATTACAGCATATTTGATGACTATCATTCATTTTCCATTCACCCAGCTCAATGTAACATTGATTGGTTTAGGCTACTACATGATACTAAAATGGTCCCTATACCCATCATGAGGTTGCTACAACCTAGCCTATGAATTAAAGTTTACAATGTAGTTGTATAGGTCGAGATACATATTTTCTAAATCAAGGTGTCAGACAGTGACACATTCAATACTGCCTTGCACACTCTTGCCTGCATCTAGCTGATCTAGGGTGTAATCATTAGTCCAACAGTTGCAAACAAGAGTTTCTATTGGACAATTCAGGTATGTTTATCCACGCTTCGTTCCGTTTGCTTCCGTTTAAGAAACGTTTTTCAACAGAATCGACGGAATGAATACACCCCTGATCACACACAAACACAGTTCATTTTCATAACAGCCACATACAAACAGCATGATCACGCAATTCCTTCTCGCATCTACGCGCTCTCCTCCTCTCACCTTTTCCCTTCGCTCAACACATCAGCTGTCTGTGACCAGGTGAAAAAACCTTTCCAAGCCAAACCTTCATATCATAACCACTAACCACTACACACAGCCTACATCATTGTCACCATATTAGCTAGCTAACGTCATAGTCAACATAGCTAATAGAACTAACGCATTAGTAAACCCTCTACAATCATGCAGTACAGTGTACAGTCAGCAAACAGTTTAGCAGTTACACCGGCGGGCCCTGGTGGCAATAAATTAATCAAATCAAAAGCTTACCTTGAATTGGAAGAGTTCCAGTAGCCATAGCCCACTAGCTAACATAGCATCCCTCTCTGTTTGAGCCGGGTGTTTGAGTAGGATAAACTAGCTAGCTGCATTCACTAGCTAAGTAAGTGAAAGTGAAAATGAAAAGAATACTACGAAATATAGCTATCTCTCTCTATCTCTCTTGCTTCTCCTTCATTTTTGAAGAAATGTATTTGTTCAAAACTGTTCAACTATTGTCTTTCTCTCTCTTTGAGTCAACTACTCACCACATTATATGCACTGCAGTGCTAGCTAGTTGTAGCTTATGCTTTCAGTACTAAATTCATTCTCTGATCCTTTTTTTGATTGGGTGGACAAAATGTCAGTTCATGCTGCAAGAGCTCTGATAGTTTGGAGGACATGGAAGTTGTCATAATTCCTGTGTTCTGTAAGTCTATGGAAGGGGGTGAGAACCATGAGTCTCCTAGGTTTTGTATTAAAATCAATGTACCCAGAGGAGGACGGAAACTAGCTGTCCTCTGGCTACACCATGGTGCTACCCTACAGCAGGGTTTCCCAAACCCGGTCCTGGGGCCCCCCCTGCGTGCACGTTTAGTTTTTTGCCCTAGCACTACACAGCTGATTCAAATAACCAACTCATCATCAAGCTTTTAATTGTTTTATTTGAATCAGCTGTGTAGTGCTAAGGCGAAAACATGCACCAAGGGGGGGCCCCAGGACCGAGTTTGGGAAACCCTGCCCTACAGAGTGCTGTTGAGGCTACTGTAGACCTTCATTGCACAACAGTGTGTTTTAATCAATTATTTAGTGACATTAATATATTTAGTATAGTTTATCTAAAAATTATAACTTTGATGTTTCACTATTTCTATTTTTATGAAATTCACTGAGGAGAATGGTCCTCCCCTTTCTCCTCTGAGGAACCTCCACTGGTATGCAGACACAGGCTTTGTCTCAAATGGCACCTTATTCCCTATTTAGTGTACTACTTTTGAACAGGCCTTTTGACCATAGGGCTCTGGTCAAAAAAAGGGTTCCAAAAGGGTTCTTTGGCTGTCTCTATAGGCAAACCATTTTTGGTTCCAGGTAGAACTATTTTGGGTTCCATGTAGAACCCTTGGGGAAAGGGTTCTACATGGAACCCAAAATGGTTCTACCTGGAACCAAAAAGGGTTCTCAAAGGGTTCTCCTATGGGGATAGCCTAAGAAGCCTTTTAGATTCTAGATAGCACCTTTTTGTAAATAGGGAATAGAGTGCAATTTGGGACGCATCCACAATTCTGTTCCTTGGTTTTACCGTTGTCTAGTTGTGGCTGATTTACATAGGACCCATTTACTATATAGTGCTCTTTACTATATTGGCCAATATGGGGAATATATAGGGAATAGGGTGCACCAACTGCATTTACATCATTATCCAGTGATTGAAATTAGTATGGTAGGCAGAGAAGGATTTCACTCAAACCAAATTCTCTCCTGCTGCATATTGTACCTAAAACAAAGTGGTACCACAACATAAATGGGACTCAAAGTACACTCTTAGAAAAAATGGGTTCCTCGTTTTTCCCCATAGGAGAACCCTTTTTGGTTCCAGGTGAAAAAGGATCTACTTAGAACATTTAAGTGGTGAAAGAGTTTCACGTAGAACCTTGTATTAGTGAAAAGGTTCCACTTGGGTTCCAACCAAAAATAGTTATTTTCAGAGGGTTCTCCTATTGGGACAATTAAATAACCCTTTATGGTTCTAGGTAGCACCTTCTTTTCTAAGAGTAAGTAACATGATCATGAAGTAAAAAAATGCAAACATCCTTTGCGTGAATGGATTGTTTTGTGCAGAGTTTACCCACACATTGTATTATTATTCAGCTCTGCCATTAACCTTCTGAGCTTAAGCCAGGTGACCCAGGTAACAAAGCCTCAGTGGAAGTCTGATCCATCAGGTGTGTTAATCAGGCACCATACGGGGAAAAAATTGACTGAAACAGGGAGGGACTACATGGGCTTGTCCATTAAGAATAGACGGGTTGGCTGAAAACGTCATGAAAATTACGCGCGTGCATCGGTGTGGCCGGAAGCCGCGTTGTTATGATTCTGAACGGTCAGATAGCTAGCAACAATGGCAAGAAGCTGCCGTGTGGGGAATCGTAGGTGGCTCGTTTCAGCTAGTTTTATCTTGTTAATGATACCATATCTTGTTTTGAGGTGTTTTGACTTATTTCATGTCAATGTTAATATGGCTCAAATTGGCTAGCTAGCTAACCAACAAATGTAATGATGTATTTGAGACAACAAGTGCTGATTGTGCAAATGTATTTATGTTTTCAATAAACATTTGGAGACTAAATATAGTTTACATGTTGTCAACAATCTAAGCCAACCCCGTCTGTTTTGCCCCATAGTTGTGCACACGTCGGTTTTGTTGCTAAACAACCAACCCGTCTATTGCTCATTTCGTGTTCAATTGCAAAACGTTTTCCATTGCCCTACTCAATACGACCCAGGACTCACTTACTCTGAGTTTCCCTCCACTGAGAGACATGACACAGGAGTCACGACCTGTCACCACATGAGACTAATGCTAATGATTCTTTGGGATGGGGGAAGGAATCAACACATTCCTCTTCCTGGAGAGCAACTGATAGTATTAGTTTTACCTCGCCTGATTCACCTTTTGGGCGGTGTTTGCACTTTAGGACCAATGGAATGGTGTCAAATAAGCAAACTAAAACAAACAACACTATTTGGGTGTGCAGGTTTCTGTTCTACCCGTACTCAAGCTGCTCTTCAGGATCAAATCAGGTGTGTTAAAAGAGTAGAACAGAGCCGGAGCAAAAGCCTGTACCGCTCCATACCAGGACATTTGGGTATCCTTGCTGTATATCTAAGGTAGGTGGAGATACATTTGGAAGAAAGGGAGAGCAGGAAGGGGATTCACCAGTTCCTAAAACCTCTGGGAAGGAGATTGCAGTTGTGCGGTCACCTTCCCTGCTGTTCTTTAGTGCACCATGCACTTTAAAAGCCCCCCCCAACCCCCCACCACCCCCCTCACCCCTGCTGGACAGACACTTACCATCAAACTCAGCAGGTCCCACTCCCACTATGATGATAGACATGGGCAGAGCGGCAGCCTGCGGAGAAAACACACACACACATGCACGCACAGGAAATTACATATTTATGACGTCCCATGCCACATTTTGGGACACACACACAAACTTAAGGCCCACCAATGTCAACAACACACATACGAAATTGTAACTATTTTGCACTATGGCCTATTTATTGCCTTACCTCCATAACTTACTACATTCGCACACACTGTATATATATTTTCTGTATATGTAACTCTGTGTTGTTGTTTTTATCGCACTGCTTTGCTTTATCTTGGCCAGGTCGCAGTTGTAAATGAGAACTTGTTCTCAACTGGCTTACCTGGTTAAATAAAGGTGAAAAAACACACACAAAAAAAACACATCACTGAGTTGTGATGAGCACTCACATTGACCACAGCCTCCTTGGTCTGCACCATGTCTGAGATGACTCCGTCTGTGATCATCAACAGCACAAAGTACTGGGATCCGTCAGTCACATCCTCAGCACACCTGCACAGAGCAACACAGCACAGGTTGAAACTAAATCAAATCGCATTTGTCACATGCGCCCTTCCCAAAATAGTAACACAAGAATGGAGCTATGTAGATGGAGTACCAGTAGCAGATCAATGTGCAGAGGTAGAAGGCAGGGTAAAGTGACTATGCATCAGGTAGATCATAATAAGAGTGAAATAAAGAACAGAGTAGCAGCAGCAAATGATGAGTGTGCGCGAGTGATGTGTATGTATGTGTGTTTGTGTTGTGTCGGTATGCGTGTGTGTCGTGTGTGTACATATGTAGTGCATGTGAATGTGTGTGGGTTTTGTGTGGGATTGTCAATGGGTGGGTGTTGGTGTGTGTGTTAGAGGTCTTCACGGGTCCGACCAAACCCAAATACCCGAGACCTGACCCGGGACCCGAGCGGGTTTGCATCCAAAATGTAAATTTGTCCCCAGGTCCGGGTCGGGTCCTGTTTGATTGCCATCAGGTCTTTGGTCTATGTAACTCCAGCTGATATAGCTGAGTGGACCCGAATAGACCCAACCACAGCTCTGCATAGTCTATAGCATATTTATGACCTGGCCTCCACAATCACTCGACCTCAACCCAATTGAGATGGTTTGGGATAAGTTGGACCGCAGAGTGAAGGAAAAGCAGCCAACAAGTGCTCAGCATATTTGGGAACTCCTTCAAGACTGTTGGAAAAGCATTCCAGGTGAAGCTGGTTGAGAGAATGCCAAGAGTGTGCAAAGCTGTCATCAAGGCAAAGGCTGGCTACTTTGAAGAATCTAAAATTTGTTTAACACTTTTTTGGTTACTATATGATTCCATATGTGTTATTTCATAGTTTTGATGTCTTCACTATTATTCTACAATGTAGAAAATAGTAAAAAAAATAAAGAAGAAACCTTGAATGAGTAGGTGTGACCAAACTTTTGACTGGTACTGTATATATATATTCTGGACTCTGACATTGCTCGTTCTGATATTTCTTAATTTCTTTCTTTTTACATTTGTATTATGTGGGTATTGTTTTGTATTGTATTATTACACTGTTGGAGATAGAAACCCAAGCACTTCGCTGCAATCTGCAAATCTGTGTATGCAACCAATAAACTTTGATTTCATTTGATTAAAGACCTATCCTTTAACCAGAAGAGCAACTTGGCAATACACATTTCAATTTAAGTTTATTTACCAGAGTGCTGTCCTATTTTTGTTCTTTGAAGAGCAACTTGGCTCATAAACATATCTATTTTTTCACTCGGGTCCAATCGTTAGGGTATGGGTCGGGTCTAGGTCGGGTTGTCCTTGGGTCCATTCCAGTTCGGGTCTGATTGTTCTCGGGTCAGAGTCCCCATTAAATAAATATATATCAGGTTCATTCGGATCCGGGTCCAACTTTTTGGACCGGAGAAGACATCTAGTGAGTGTGCGTTTGTGCGTGAGGGAGACTTTCTTCTGTCTTCTGGTTTTCTGTAGTAATATAGCATACACTGGGCTCCCGAGTGGCCCGGTGGTCTAAGGCACTGCATCTCAGTGCTTGAGGCGTCACTACAGACCCTCTGGTTCGATTCCAGGCTGTATCACAACCGGCCGTGATTAGGAGTCCCATAGGGCGGCGCACAATTGGCCCAGCGTCGTCCGGGTTTGTCCTGTGTAGGCCGTCATTGTAAATAATAATTTGTTCTTAACTGACTTGCCTAGTTAAATAAAGGTAAAATAAAATAAACACTTACAACTATTTGAATACCATTACACTAAACTGTGCTCGATTGGCAGACGTAAAATTCCCAGGAAGTCCATTATTACCACTACACTACTGACTATTCTGTTGACTGATGACATAGACGTGTGTTGCATTGTCTAGACTGTTGTCATAAAAGTGTTGCGTTTTTAGACTGTTGACATAGAAGTTGTAGCTGTGGTGTTTGTGTCTGAGCCGGTAGGCTCATGGTAGCTAATGGTAAGACTCCGCGGGGTGGACGAAGACCCGCTGGCTCACTGTCTGATTGGCTCACTCTCACCGTCTGGCCGGAGGGGAAGAGGGAAAGGGTGAATCTCTCTCTCTCACTCACTCTCACTCTCACTCTCACACACACACACACAGACTAAAGCATATATAAACATTTTAAGTGAAATAAAGGAAAACATTGGGGAATGGTTGAATCAGCTGACATGCATAAGGAGAAAGCTGGTGGGCATTTCACTACAATACATGTAGCCCCATTTCGGGAACCAGTGGATGGGTGTTGTTTGAGAACCAAAATATTTCCCCTGGGCTCTTATTTCTAACTCAACTCAAGGTGTGATGTGGTAGTTATTACTATAGTCTCTGCTGTTGTGATGGGTTATATTAAGCAAAGGAGCACAGAAAGTGGCTTGATTCACCCCCACACCTCACATGTGGACACATCCACATGACTGGAGGCCTCGGCTTTACCGCCAACCTTCCTCCTCCTCCTCCACCTCCTCACCATCTCTGTCCCACAAGCAGCCGCACAAGCCAACCGGCTCAGAGCCGGAACGAGAGAGGAGGAGGAGAAAAGGAGAGGAGGATGACGAAGCATAATGAGTGGAATGGAGAGAGAAAGAGTGAGAGAGAGGAAGGTGGAGAGGACAGAGAGAAACATACACAGACAGAAAGAAAGGAAGTGAGAAAGAGAGTAGGGTGAGTGTTAATAAGAGAGGAGGGAGAGAGACACAGACACAGAGAGACAGAGAGACACAGAGAGAGAGATACAGAGAGAGAGAGAGAGAGAGACAGAGAGACTCAGAGAGAGAGAGAGAGAGAGAGACAGACAGACAGAGAGATACAGAGAGAGAGAGAGAGAGAGAGACAGACAGACAGACAGAGAGGGAGAGAGAGAGAGACAGAGAGGGAGAGATAGAGAGACAGACAGAGAGAGAAAGAGAGAGAGAGACAGAGAGACAGACAGAGAGAGAAAGAGAGAGAGAGACAGAGAGACAGACAGAGAGAGAGAGAGACAGAGAGAGAGAGAGAGAGAGAGAGAGAGAGAGAGAGAGAGAGAGAGACAGACAGACAGACAGACAGAGAGGGAGAGAGAGAGAGACAGAGAGGGAGAGATAGAGAGACAGACAGAGAGAGAAAGAGAGAGAGAGACAGAGAGACAGACAGAGAGAGAAAGAGAGAGAGAGACAGAGAGACAGACAGAGAGAGAGAGAGACAGAGAGAGAGAGAGAGAGAGAGAAATGAGAGAAAGCAGCATAAGGGCTAAAGGACAAAAATGAGAGATAAGAGCAGATGATAGAGACTATAATAAAGGAGTAAGAGAAGAAAGAGATACAGAGACAATACGTGAGCAGAGACAATACGTGAAAGAGAGAAATAATTGATGAGAAAGAGAATATTATTCATCTCATTCTCTCGAACAGGTGCTAATCATCAGCTACATCATCATCATCATTATTTAGTTATGCAAGAGAGATGCCGCATTCACTAGAAAGGATATTGCCATACTTATGTATACTGAGTATACCAAACATTAGGAACACCATCCTAATATTGAGTGGCACCTAGGGCTGTGGCGGTCACAAAATTTCATCAGCCGGTGATTGTCAAGCAAATAACTGTCGGTCTCACGGTAATTGACCGTTAATGAACATAAACAAATTTAGCATCTCCTGGCTTCCACACATAGCCTACAAGCCACTGACGCAGACCTTTGGAACATCTACATTTTAAAAAGTCTAATAAATCCATGTAGCCTACACCTTCACAATAAATCCATTATTTATTTTAGACAGGTCTAAAGAAGCATGATATGAAGAAAATGTAGTCTATTTCAGAAGAACAGAATAGCATACTCTGAGTTGTCCTTATGTTAGGTCCTGATCTGGCTATGCCAAATGGCTGTGGGCTACACTAGTTCATTTAGCAGACAAGATTTTCTTAGAATTCCGTGGCATTATTTTATAGTATGAAGAATACAATTGAACAAAGCTGAATAAAATAGAAAGGATATTTTCTCCAAAAGATTTGAGGGAGTGCTCACATGAGGCTATTCTGTGTTGAGCGGTTAACAAAAAAAACAGGTACTCCTATATGCTTAATTTAGAGTTATTAATGTAACTTTAGTTGTTCTACAAACGTTGGGCTATGTGTTTTGATTTTTAATACATTGTAAGGCTGCATAATGCGACAAAAGTTGCTTGAAAGGCATGAGCTCTGCTTTGTTTTTTGTGCAGGCTGTACACACTACATCAGTCACTCATTCACAATTTGACAAGCACATGATAATGCCTTGAATTTCATGGCGGCATCCCCTTTGTGTGGCCGTAATGCACCCTAAAAAATGTTATGCCTTTTGCGGCCAGTGGCCGTTGTGCCCTTCTCGCTGAGTGCTGCGCGCTCCATCACATGATCTGGTTTTTCTCACAGGCTACAAGTGAAGACAGACATATTGGGGATGCAACTGCGCGCGTCCTTATCCAATTCCGAGGTGCATATTGAAGATATTGGAAGAACTGTCCACATTTACTTTTCATCAGCCAACAAGATGAGTAGGACTAACGAACAGCAAAAGCCCTAGCCTATGTCAATCTACTATCCCCCATAGTACAAATCCCAAATGAATACAACCACTAGCATCCAAAAACATTTTTTATGCAATGTGGCTGACGCAACAGATCAGAACGTTTAGCTTAAAATGTTGATAAACTATTAGGCTATTTCTTCACATTATAAGTGCAGCAATGCACACGTGGTAGTAGGCTATAAGCGCAAATGTTCCATTAGCGGAAAACACCATTATCAAAAGTGACCGCAAATGCAAATTATGCATGTAATGCTTTTATTATAAAGGTGCATTTTTATGGTGAAAATTATCTTCCCCAAATTTGAAACTCACGCGCTGCGTATGTATGCCAATAAAGCTCTACACCCCTTGTAAAGCGTATTAATGTGCTTAATTTTAAGAAGTTATTTGGTCACTTTAGTTGGGATACAAACCTTATTAAAACATATAGGCCTATGGGCTAGGCTACATGAGGTGTGTGACTATGATTCGAAATAGTCACATAAAAAAGGCATTGTTTCTTATGCTGGGCATCATTCACAAGTGATAATATATAATTCACAAGTGATAGGCTAATATTGTCACCCATCAGACTATTCTTGATTTAATGTTGTCTTTACATATACTAAATAATATATGTATGACATTTGTTTTGATTTAGAATGGACCATTATCATGCACCTGTATCAAAACAGGGGCAGCAGGAAAAAATACATGTCATCTATGCACTTAAATAGCGAATGGAGGACGCTTTTCCCCGTGGTTTATTTCCATGCCAGCCAGGTAGGCTATACTCCTGTTGTAAATATAAGCAATGTGCTTAATATTAGGAAAGTGGAGAAATAAATATAGTAGGCCTAGCCTATAGAAAGCTGATGGGATCCTCTTCTTTTTATTAGCTGCCATCACTCTGTTTTCTCCCGCAACTGCATAGCCTATAGAAATGTTGCGCAACATGAGCTCATGGGCTCTCATGAAGTGTTTGATTAGATTTTCGAATACATTTGCATTGATGTCAGAATGATTAGAGGGACAATAGAGTGCCAGGCAGTTAGCAAGTTTGGTAGGCTACTAATGACCAGCAGTAGCATCAGAGCGTGGAGAAGCGTAATTACCGTGACTAAACGGTCATGTGGAATTTGACTGCCTTCATGACTCGTTACCGCCGGGGTGGCGGTAATACGGTCACCGCAACAGCCCTCGTTGCACCCCCACCCCGGAACACACTTCTATGTTAACAGTCTAGACAACGCAACACTTCTATGTCAACAGTCTAGACAACGCAACACTTCTATGTCAACAGTCTAGACAACGCAACACTTCTATGACAACAGTCTAGACAACGCAACACTTCTATGACAACAGTCTAGACCACGCAACATTTTTATGACATGTGACATCAATAAGGGATCATAGCTTTCACCTGGATTCACCTGGTCAGTCTATGTCATGGAAAGAGCAGGTGTTCTTAATGTTTTGTATACTCAGTGTATTATGAGACAGCAAAAAATAAAGAGGAAGTACATAACAGGGCCATTAGAAAATGTGTTTCCTAAAATACATACAAAAAAGGTGTTGCCTCATAAAATATTTGATTCAGTTTGGGAAATAGTGTATTTTTACTAAGGTGGGAGGTATGAGACTGTAGTTTGGTGGAAATCCCCATCGACTGAGGATGAGCGGTCACCATTATGTAGTTGAATGAAAATGATGTTTAATAATAATAAACTGCATTCATCAATCTGACTCCATTATTACAGTATGTGAATAAATGCAGGCCCCTGTGCGTCTTTGGAGGATCTAGTCTAGTCAAGATAGAGCCTTACATCACCTCTGAGTATGAATATAATGAACATGTCTAAATTGCAGCGTTATGCAATTATTAAGAAGCTAGTTACAAATAGCTCATCCTGGTGACCAATGTTCTAGCATTAATTTATTGAGTCAAGTACCATGCATGTCAAGGTGGAACGCAAGCATATACTATGTGTAGTATATAAATACTATTTACCAATAGACCTACTAAATTATGAACGAATAGTCAATCAAATAATTTATCTGTAAAACAATAATAATATGCCATTTAGCAGACGCTTTTATCCAAAGCGACTTACAGTCGTGCGTGCATACATTTTTGTGTATGGGTGGTCCCGGGGATCGAACCCACTACCTTGGCGTTACAAGCGCCGTGCTCTACCAGCTGAGCTACAGCAGAAATGGATTTACTCAATTGAACTGATAGGATTTATTAGTCATGAAAGAATTAACACAAACAATTAGTGTACATGAAATACATGATACATTACAGAATAACTCACAGTAAAATACAACGTGGTTACACGCGTCTTCAGTTCAGAATAATCTCTAAGAGAAAAACGATGTGTGTCGGATACACACAGGAGCTTGGAAGCAAGTTCTTAAAGTATCAGCGAATTCACTGCCCTTTTAGCCAAATTCAAGCAGAAAGCACCGCCAACCTGAATAAAAATTTGTTTGCACTTTGCTAGTTAACACAAAAGGCAGGAACAACACACCCAGATTCTAATCTAATCAACTCAATTTAAATTATAGGAGCATACCCCTGTGTCGCTCCCTCTTAGAATTGACCGCCGTCCGACAAACAGTATAACACAGTTTCCTGTCACAATAAATCCATAGCACTTACAAACCAAACATGACAATTTAATTAACAGTAACATTAATTTAGACGATTCAAGTTATCAGTTTTCACACCTCTCCTAGCGTCAGTGACCCCAGGACTTCAGTGGGAACCTCGTCTCCGGAGAAAGACGAGAATAAGGTGTGTTTCTCCTGTGAGATGCAAATATACGGCCATCCATCAAAACAATTTCATAAAACATGATTAAGTCATCACGCTGGGTCTCGGCGCTTGCAAGTCGCTAGTCACGAGTATCACCTTCTCTCATTTTTTCACTAAAAGACCTTGAGCAGGCCATTTAGGGAGAGTCTTTCCTCCTACCTGAAGAATACCAAGATCACAATATCTTCTATTATTCATATTCTATGCTCTACTTATTTCTATGGAATTATCCCGGGACACCTTTACAACACCAGTAAAACACACTCACACAATGGCACATCTACTATTCCTTTCTAATACCACAACTACTGAACCATATAATGAATTATATGTACAGTATATGAACTACATGGCCTTCTCCAGTACTACAGTGTCCTATACATTCAGACAACATTCAGCAACACAACTCCTGCAAGTTGTAATGGTCCCAAGGCCTGTGTGCAGGCCCCAGCTAAGCCAATCATTAAGAGTTTTGCGGTTATGTGGAACCTTTAGAGATGGAAAACAAACATAAATAGAGCACACAGAGGCAGGGAGAGCAGCTATGCTAAGCTGTCTGTCTGTCAGAGAGAGAGAGGGAGAGTGCGATAGAGAGAGAGAGCGCGAGCTCAGGGGAGAACATGTCAGAGTAACTCATGGGGCCTAGGGCAGCCTAAGGGTGGAGTACTGCAGGGGAGAGGAGTGTGTGGTGGCGGGAGGGTAAGAAAGTGTGTGTTTGCATACTGTATGTATTTGCATACAGCATATGTTGCTCTCATATTGCGTCAAGCAAGTCAAAACACGTATGTACACTGAGTATACAAGACATTAAGAACACCAGCTCTTTCCATGACATACACTGACCAGGTGAATCCAGGTGAAAGCTATGATCCCTTATTGATGTCACTCGTTAAATCCACTTAAAATCAGTGTAGATGAAGGGAAGGAGACAGGTTAAAGAGGGTTTTTAAGCCTTGAGACAACTGAGACATGGATTGTGTATGTGTGCCATTCAGAGGGTGAATGGGCAAGACAAAATATTTAAGTGCCTTTGAACGGGGTATGGTAGTAGGTACCAGGCCCACCAGTTTATGTCAAAAACTGCAACGCTGCTGGGTTTTTCACGCTCAACAGTTTCCTGTGTGTATCAAGAATGGTCCACCACCCAAAGGACATCCAGCCAACTTTACACAACTGTGGGAAGCATTGGAATCAACATGGGCCATCATCCCTGTGGAACGCTTTGACACCTTGTAGAGTCCATGCCCCGAAGAATTGAGGCTGTTCTGAAGGAAAAAGGGGGGATGCAACTCAATAAAAGGAAGATGTTCCGAGTGTTTGGTATACTCAGTGTACGTATGTACCCCATGGCCAAAAGTATGTGGACACCTGCTCGTCGAACATCTCATTCCAAAATCATGGGCATTAATATGGAGTTGGTCCCCCCTTTGCTGCTATAACAGCATGTTCTTCTGGGAAGGCTATTCACTAGATGTTGGAACATTGCTGCGGGGACTTGCTTCAGTTCAGCCACAAGAGCATTAGTGAGGTCGGGCACTGATGTTGGGCGATTAGGCCTGGCTCGCAGTCTGCGTTCCAATTCATCCCAAAGGTGTTCAATGGGGTTGAGGTCAGGGCTCTGTGCAGGCCAGTCAAGTTCTTCCACACCGATCTCGACAAACCATTTCTGTATGGACCTTGCTTTGTGCACGGGGGCATTGTCATGCTGAAACAGGAAAGGGCCTTCCCCAAACTGTTGCCACAAAGTTGGAAGCACAGAATCGTCTAGAATGTCATTGTATGCTGTAGTATTAAGATTTCCCTTCACTGGAACTAAGGGGCCTAGCCCGAACCATGAAAAACAGCCCCAGACCATTATTCCTCCTCCACCAAACTTTACAGTTGGCACTATGCATTGGGGCAGGTTGCGTTCTCCTGGCATCCGCCAAACCCAGATTCGTCCGTCGGACTGCCAGATGGTGAAGCGTGATTCATCAATCCAGAGAACGAGTTTCCACTGCTCCAGAGTCCAATGGCGGCAAGCTTTACACCACTCCAGCCGACGCTTGGCATTGTGCATAGTGATCTTAGGCTTGTGTGCGGCTGCTCGGCTATGGAAACCCATTTCATGAAGCTCCCGACGAACAGTTCAGACGTTTTTTACGCGCTACGTGCTTCAGCACTCGGAGTCCGTTCTGTGCGCTTCTGTGGCCTACCACTTCGCGGCTGAGCCGTTGTTGCTCTTAGACATTTCCACTTCACAATAACAGCACTTACAGTTGACCGAGGCAGCTCTAGCAGGGCATACATTTTAAGAATTGACTTGTTGGAAAGGTGGGATCCTATGCCAGTGCAACGTTGAAAGTCACTGAGCTCTTCAGTACGGACCATTCTACTGCCAATGTTTGTCTATGGAGATTGCATGGCTGTGTGCTCAAGTTTATACAGCAACGGGTGTGGCTGAAATAGCCGAATCCACTAATTTGAAGGGGTGTCCAGATACTTCTGTAGTGTATTGCATTTGGATTGCATTATTGCATTTGGAAAGTATTCAGACCCCTTGACCTTTTCCACATTTTGTTACTTTACAGTCTTATTCTAAAATTGATTCAATTGTTTTTTTCCCTTATCAATCTACACACAATACCCCATAATGACAAAGCGAAAACAGGTTTTTAGATTTTTTTAAACAAATGTATACACTACTAGTAAAAAGTTTGGACGTACCTACTCATTCAAGGGTTTTTCTTTATTTGTACTATTTTCTACATTGTAGAATAATAGTGAAGACATCAAAACTATTAAATAACTCATATGGAATCATGTAGTAACCAAAAAAGTGTTAAACAAATCAAAATATATTTGAGATTTGAGATTCTTCAAATAGGCACCCTTTGCCTTGATGACAGCTTTGCACACTCTTGGCATTCTCTCAACCAGCTTCATGAGGTATTCACCTGGAATGCTCTAATGTATTTGTCCTCTTGCTCAGTTGTGCACCGGGGCCTCCCACTCCTCTTTCTATTCTGGTTAGAGCCAGTTTGTGCTGTTCTGTGAAGGGAGTAGTACACAGTGTTGTACGAGAGCTTCAGTTTCTTGGCAATTTCTCGCATGGAATAGCCTTCATTTATCAGAACAAGAATAGACTGATGAGTTTCAGAAGAAAGTTATTTGTTTCTGGCCATTTTGAGCCTGTAATCGAACCCACAATTGCTGATGCTCCAGATACTCAACTAGTCTCAAGAAGGCCAGTTTTATTGCTTCTTTAATCAGCACAAAAAATTTTCAGCTGTGCTAACATAATTGCAAAAGGGTTTTCTAATGTTCAATTAGCCTTTTAAAATGATAAACTTGGATTAGCAAACACAACGTGCCATTGGAACACAGGACTGATGGTTGCTGATAATGGGCCTCTGTACGCCTATGTACTGTAGATATTCCATAAAAAATCAGCCGTTTCCAGCTACAATAGCCATTTACAACATTAACAATGTCTACACTGTATTTCTGATCAATTTGATGTTATTTTAATGGACAAAAAAAAAGCTTTACTTTCGAAAACAAGGACATGTCTAAGTGACCCCAAACTTTTGAACGGTAGTGTATGTAAATGTCATATTTACGTTTTTGCTTTGTCATTATGGGATATTGTGTGTAGGTTGATGAGGGGAAAAACAATGTAATCAATTTTAGAATAAGCCTGTAACATAACAAAATGTGGAAAAGGGGGGGGTCTGAATACTTTCCGAATGCACTGTAGCCATGTATGTATGTGTGTGTGTGTGTGTGTGTGTGTGTGTGTGTGTGTGTGTGTGTGTGCGTGACTACTCTTTCCGTGTGTGTGTGTGCGTGCGTGTTAGTGTGTGTGTGTGTGTGTGTGTGTGTGTGCTGTCATTCTCTCACCGTGCCACCTGGTTGATGACAGGAGCGAAGTTGGTGGGCCCGTAGAGCTGAACGGTTCGGAGACTCTGGAAGTAGGCCTCCAACACACCCTCGATACCCACACAGTTTGGGTTCTCACTGTTGGAGTTCTGTGGGAAACCATGGACAAGAGAGAGGGATAGAGAGTGAAGGAGAGAGAGAGAAAGTGTCAGAGACGGGCGTAGGTGTGGTGTGGAATCAAATGCAGGATGCAGATGCAAGTCCAAAATACTTTAATCAAGTCCACAGAATGAACGGCTACAAACAGAGCCGGAGGCACAAGGAAAATAACGCACTCAGCGTAAAAATACAACAAACGCACAACAGTGCGGACTCTCTATAAAAATAGAGCACAAACTGACTGGCAACACCTGCTGACATGGAACAACTACACACAACCACACGACAGAAACAACGAGAACTTAAAGGACACATAATCAAGACAAAATGAGAAACAGGTGTACCAAAACAGACCAAACCAAACGAACACAGAAACAACGAACGGTGGCAGCTAGTACTCCGGGGACGACGACCGCCGAAGCCTGCCCGAACAAGGAGAAGGAGCAGCCTCGGCAGAAACCGTGACAGAAAGAAAGCTCAGGTGCAAGACATAAGAACAAAAATAATCCATCAAACAATATGTCTGTTCCCAAAAGACCAGCAACACAAAAAAAAAGAAAAATCGATTACATTGTGGTTGACAGACTTGTTCTGAGCGCAGTGGTCACACAACCTTTCATTTTGACATACACAGACACTGTTTCAATTGTGGAGGTCCTTGAAACATTGTCTGTCTCCTGTCTGTACATTCAGCATCAAAACTCTTCCGATAAGAACACCCATTGGCTCATTAAAGCCACTTCCTAGATAGCATATGTATATCGGCACTACGTAGTTTAGGGATCGGCCCTCACAGTCAGATCAGGAAAACACATTGGGGATCAGGAAAAAGCATCGTTTTGACATAGGGACAATGTAGTCATGTGAAAACATCAAAAATAATGTTGACAGCTGCATTCCATTCACCAATTGAACCGTTATGACTTGAAAATCGCATTGCACTGCTGCAAGAGGTAACTAGCTGATCGGGCACTACAGGAAATGGAGGGGAGAGCACGCCCCCATCCACATTGATAGTGCTGTAGTGGTGCGGGTCTAGAGCTTCAAGTTCCATGGTGTCCACATCGCTAAGGAATTAACATGGTCCACACACACAGACACAGTTATGAAGAGGGCATGACAGTGCCTCTTCTCTTTCAGGAGGCTTAAGATATTTGGCATTGGCTCTCAGATCCTCAAAAAGTACTACAGCTGCACCATTGAGGATATCTTGACTTACCTGCATTAACCTTGCACTGACTCTATGCACACATTCACACATACTTTCACTGACACCCCAACACACACATACACTTTTTTCAACCAACTCATACATATATACACACACACTACAAAAGTATTTGGACACCCCTTCAAATTTGTGGATTCGGCTATTCTAGCCACACTGGAATCAACGTCAGCACAAGAACTGTTCATCGGGAGCTTCATGAAATGGGTTTCCATGGCCGAGCAGCCTAAGATCACCATGCGCAATGCCAAGCGTTGGCTGGAGTGGTGTAAAGCTCGCCGCCATTGGACTCTGGAGCAGTGGAAACGCATTCTCTGGAGTGATGAATCACGCTTCACCATCTGGCAGTCCGACGGATTAATGCCAGGAGAACGCTACCTGCCACAATGCATAGTGCCAACTGTAAAGTTTGGTGGGAAGAGGAATAAGGGTCTGGGGGCTGTCTTTCATGGTTCGGGCTAGGCCCCTTAGTTTCAGTGACGGGAAATATTAACGCTACAGCATACAATGACAATCTAGATGATTCTGTGCTTCCAATTTTGTGGCAACAGTTTGGGAAAGGCCTTTTCCTGTTTCAGCATGACAATGCCCCCACGCAAAGCAAGGTCCATACAGAAATGCTTTGTCAAGATCGGTGTGGAAGAACTTGACTGGCCTGCACAGAGCCCTGACCTCAACCCCATTGAACACCTTTGGGATGAATTGTAATGCCGACTGCGAGCCAGGCCTAATCGCCCAACATCAGTGCCCAATGCGGAGGGCTCCGTATAGCTCCGCATTGACATGATTGGTTGACGGTAGGTGGGGGCAGGGGGTCAAGTATAAACACAAACTCGCTTCCTTGACAACTTCCTTCACAACAGCTCTGCTCTGCTCCACGAAGCGCAAGAAGTGCCCTGACTTCTGCAGAGGCCGTATCGCAGTAAATGCAGATTTACCATGCAGAGCCTTTTAATCTACACCTGTTGTTTATGAAGCATATGACAAATATAATTAGATTTTCTTATGAGCGGAGGCAGCCCTCCTCTTCCAGCAGGATCAGACAATGTGGTCTAATTAAAAGATGCCTTTGCATGACTTGCTTGGGCTTCGTCACGCCGAGGCGAGCTCTAATTGGGAGAGTTGATTGAGCGGTGGCCCATTCGGAAATGAGCCAAGTTAAAGAGCAGTGATGAATCTCGACAGCAATGGTGTCACAATGTACTCACTGGTTTCAGACATTTTGGGAAGGAGAACAATAGCACTTTTTGGATACTGCGAAGCATGTCTTTCACAAATCTGATAAAATGATACAATTTGAGAGATAATTTTGTCAGAGGAAGATGATTCAGATAGTGATTGATTTAGTCAGATGTGTCCCTGTCTTGGCTATTAGCTGATGCTGAAAATAATATAAAAGACAGAGAGAAAATAATGTGTGTGGAGTCCATATCTTTCTCAATTTGGTTATCAAAATTGACCAGCACTGGTGTTTAGACCTGAACTTTCTATACATCGGGTACAAATATGGACGGCATTACTGGTGCCGTTGTTATGAACTGAGCACGTTTTGGTTTGAAGCAGTATATCAGTCTCTTCTGTCCACTTTGTGAAGTCTGATGCATGGCATTGAGATCTTACAACATAGTCTAATTAAAGAGCAGATCTTCGCATCATTTCCTTCACATCAAGGAGGTTCTTTGTGGCGAATTCCTCTAGCTTTGGGTCTAAAATTAGCTGAAAATAAGACTCCTTTTGTTTTTTTACTCTTCTTTGTTCAACAAGTCCTCCCTTTTTTCTTTCTCCTCTGAAGTATCTGTCCAGGGAGATAGTAGACGTCTAGAATCCGAGGAGAACTCGTTTTTTTCTTCTTCATGTTTGTTATTCATTTTTCATCGGCTCATGAAGCTAAGCTAAGCTCTACGTCCTCTAAAGTCTATTTCGGTCTGTGTCTGTCTGGTCCCTTTTTGTTTCACACTTTTTCACATCAAACAGATGGTGTTTGTTTTTTTTGGAGCTGTTTTCTGACTGTGTTTTTTTTCCTCCCGCCCTTCCTCTACCCTTGTTCAAACACTTCACATAACTACTTGAGGCTGACGCTAGCTCATTGGCTTACACAATGGTGCTGCAATTTGTGTTTTTTGTTGACATATTTAGAGGTTCTCGTGTTCTTCGTGACTTTACCACGCCATGTTAAAGCGGCAATCAGCAGTAGAAACAACAAAGCGTGCTCCCCACCCCTGTTTTGGTAAAAAGCTAAGGGATTTGGCTGGAGAAATGTAACCACTCTCAAATTCATAGACAGAGCTATGGATGCAAGGACTGACCATCCATGATATCAAAATTATAGTTTTAACCATGTTTTGAGGCTATATAGTGTTTGTTTACATTTACTTTGTTGACAAACATTGGAGTAAAGCAAGTTCATATTTTGGATTATGATCTGGTACAATATTTTGCCAGCAATATAATAGATCAAATGAAACATTTATTAGGCTTGGAGCTTCAGTCAGCCTTGGACACAAATTGATATGTGGGGGATGTTAAGTAGCATGGACTTCACTACTCAAAAATAGAACAGGTATTTCAAGAAACAGCAAGGTCTCGCAACTGAGCCCGATAGATGGACATACACTATTTTAGTTTCTTATCAGTAAAAATAGGGAAGTATATGAATAAAGAAAGCATTGTGGATGGCAACTTCACATCTGTAAAAGTGTGAGAGCAAAAACACATTACAGAAGGGACATTGTCATCAAAGAGTATTTATATAGTTCAAGGACTGTGGATCAGTAAATACTGCAGCATAAAGTAGCAGCACCTCATTGCAAGAAATAAAACCGTGCCTGTTCATTACCCACAGTAAGTCCATCATAAACACAATAAAACAATGCATCATCATATCAACAACAACTGCTCCCTCCCTCCATCACACTCTCTCACCAGTGGGAAGGCATGGGAGATCTTGCCGTCCGGGGGCAGCTTTGCTCCGAAGCCATAGGCGGGGAACATCTTGTCACTGTCGTAGTCTTGGATGATCTCCCCCACAGCCTTCAGGGCCATGGCGTAGGCATTCATCTGGTAGGGACTCATGTAGTGCAGAGAGGTGGGCTGGGACGGGTTACCTGGAACACAGCAACAAAGCATTAATTGTTTTATTTAACCTTTATTTAGAAAGGGAAGTCATATTGAGAACCAGGCCTCATTTTCAAATGAGCCCTACTACACAACACACAAAACACACACATCAAATACAAAAAAGGTATAGGCCAAACAGGCAACGTTTCACACTATCATACTACTTGTCTTAGGATGCATGTTGAATTCATTGATCTAGATAAGTGATATGCTAGAGTGGATATTGACCTATAGCCACAAGGCTGTGGGTTCAAGTCCATCAGCATCCACCGACAAGTAGCTACACCATTGCAGTATCTAACGTTCATTTGATAGTAAAATATTGCTGGCAACATTTGGCCCTGCTTTGACAACTGTTAGAGTAATATTATTTTGAACGAAGTTTGGGGAAACCTTAGTAGCCTAAAATAAATGCCAAAAAACAACAAACCGTATAAGTGATTCGGCCACACTTACCATTAGACGCTGTGAAATCGATGGCCACTGTAAAGTTGAGTTGCGTCCTTGGGAGACAATGATGAATTACAATGAATAACTCAAACTTTACCAGACAAAAACATAATAAAGACTAGAAAGGACATTGTCTGTTAACACAATGCAAAACAATTTCAGATATGCAAGCTAGGCTGAGCAAGCCATCAACGGCTCATCAACGTTGTTAAGAGTGGCCTCTAATGTTAATGGAGCGTTACAAAGATTGGGCTCACCCTCCCCGGATGAAGTCCACAAACGTGTATTCTGACTCCACTTTAAAGGACAGCAGTGTGACCTTCAGGGGAGGGAGAGAGGGGAGAGAAACAGTGAGAGAGAGAAAGAGAGGGGGGGTATAAGGAGAGGGATATAAGTAGAAACAGGAAGAGAGCAAGGGAAAAAGAGAGAGAGGGAAGAGAAAGTCCCGTGTAGCTCAGTTGGTAGAGCATGGCGGTTGCAAAGCCAGGGTTGTGGGTTCGATTCCCACGGGGGACTAGTATGAAAATGTATGCACTCACTACTGTAAGTCGCTCTGGATAAGAGCGTCTGCTAAATGACTAAAATGTAAAGAGATGGCCAAAGCAAAACCTTTACTGCATATGACATATCACATTGGCAATGAATCCTATCTATAAAACATATGATAAATGGAAATGGGAAAGCTCAACCGGTACTTACTGTCCCTGAATTGATATATTTCTTCTTCTTGCCTTTCTTTTTATGGTTTAGAACCTGGACAAAAAGAGGAAAAATGTGTACATTGATACAGATGTCTCAGAAAAGATGACTGGTTTGATTTCACCACATAGTTTGCTGTGTGAAGGCATGGTATGGAAATAAATTGACTGTATGGAACATGTCATATTCTAAGAGATAGAGGACGGATGAAAAATAACATTATTTTCATAGCGGGGTTATCTAAATGTAGTCGTCAGAATTGGAAAATATGAAGCTTTAATGGGAAAATCACTAAAATGCTCATCTCATTATTAAAGATAAAATATGTTTTCTGAGTAACAGCTGTGTGCTATGTCAAACAGTTTTGTTATATTTCAGTTGTTTTTTTAACCCATAACCATGTGTCTGAGCTGTAGTTTGTTTCAAAGTAGATTTGTTTAAGACCACCAATAAACACTCTGTGTGACCCACTGCAGTAATTTAAGTGTTACCGTTCTTTTTTACCTCATAGACGTTGAACTGGCTCTGGCCTCTGGAAAATTCTCTGTAGCTGGTGGTGAACTCGCCAATGAAGTCATGACTGTGGGAATAGTTGCGAGAGTAACACCTGCAGCATCTGAAAGAGTATCATACTGAAGGAAAAACCAACCCCGTCCCCTCTCTGTAGATCTAAATATCATCACCTAAAGCCAAATAGGACCTGCCCGCTATCAATCTGTGTGTGATATTTAGAGAGGAAGCCTTGTGGGCACATTAGTAACCACCATCAGTGAAGAAGGAGAGAGGGAAAGAGGACAGAGAGATGGAGGCAGTCAACACTCGTATTCGTAAACCCTCTCCCTTCTGATATTACCGCCAACCTTTTAAAGTTCCAATCAGTGAATTATGGTTGTGTGTGCTTACGGTGGAGAGTCCCTCTCATCTCCCCATCCCCATGTCACCGGACTAATAAGGTGATGAAGATTCCCCTCCAGAGAAAGAACGAGGGATGACATTTGAGGGAGATTTGGAGCGTCTGAGGCTGTCTGGAGATTGTAAATTAAATGAATGAGGGAAGAAACAAGGGGGAGGGGAGGAGCGAGAAGAGAGGAGAGAGAGAAAATTACCTTCCATCTCTGTCCCAATCATACACGTCCACCTTGACTGTCCTGGAGAAAGGGAAGATAAGAGAGAACGATGAGAATCGCAGAGAGGGTGTGTGTTTGTGTGCACATGCAAACGTGCATGAGAGAAAAAGTGAAAAAGAGAGAAATGAAAGATAGTATACTACAGAAGCTTGAACAGTAATAACACTGGAAATACACATATACATGTAATGTAACTAAATGTTTGGGAAAGAGAAGGAGAGAGAGGGAGGCAAACACAGTATGTCCCTTGAGAAGTATGAGGTGATGAACAAATAGCCTTAAGGATTTACCCAGTCAAAATTGTCATGTAATTGGAACACATACTACATTGAATTGATTAACAATAGAATACGATTCATTACATTTGCATTTAGCATAAATCAGTAATATTGTGTGATTGTGTGAGGGTGTGTGTGTGCGTGGGTGTGTGTGTTTGTGTGCATGTATGCATGTGTGTGTAATAACCAGAGATAAACAAAACGTTGTGGAACCTCCATGTTGGTCCCAATAACACCAGCGCTGGCCTCTGAGACAATATGGCCGACTGCTGGCATTATTCTGACCACCACAGAGCATCATGGGTACTGTAGTACATCATGCTACAGCAACATTCCATAGTCCTTAGTACTGAGCACAGACAGTGACAAAACATTGGCTACTTAGTCCCACAGCCTTGCCCCTGTATATAGCCTCCCTAATATTATTTTATTTTACTCCTGCTCTTTAATTATTTGTTCTTTTTTACTTATCTATTTTTTACTTAACACTTTTTTTCTTAAAACTGCATTGTTGGTTAAGGGCTTGTAAGTAAGCATTTCACTGTAAGGTCTACACCGGTTGTATTCGGCAAATGTGGCAAATAAAATTTGATTTGATTTGAGTTGTACGGAAGCCATACTGGGAACTCCCCCAGATGTCACACCAAACTCATTCAGCTAACAGAAAAAAATCCCTGGTTTTACTGAATATAGAGTACCTACTACAGTATCCGTAAGTTGCTTTGACTAAAAGCTTCTGCACAATGACCGAATGGAACAGTAAGGACAATGTACAGGAAATCTACAGAAAACCACATGAAACTCCCAAAATACACTGAACAAAAATATAAACGTAAAAGACCCCAGAAATGTTCCATACGCTTAAAAAGCTTATTTCTCTCAAATGTTGTGCGCAAATTTGTTTACATCCCTGTTACTGATCATTTCTCCTTTGCCAAGATAATCCATCTACCTGACAGGTGTGGCATATCAAGAAGCTGATTAAACAGCATGATCATGACACAGGTGCACCTTGTGCTGGGGGACAATAAAAGGCCACTCTAAAATGTGCAGTTTTGTCACTCAACACAATGCCACATATGTCTCAAGTTTTGAGGGAGCGTGCAATTGGCATGCTGACTGCAGGAATGTCCACCAGAGCGGTTGCCATAAGCCCCCTCCAACCTCGTTTTAGAGAATTTGGCAGTACATCCAACTGGCCTCACAACCGCAGACCATGTGTAACTATGCCAGCCCAGGACCTCCACATCCGGCTTCTTCACCTGCGGGATGGTTTGAGACCAGCCACCCGGACATCTGATGAAACTGTGGGTTTGCAAAACCGAATAATTTCTGCACCAACTGTTATAAACGGTCTCACGGAAGCTCATCTGCGTGCTCGTCATCCTCACCAGGGTCTTGAACTGACTGCAGTTTGGCGTCATAACCAACTTCAGTGGGCAAATGCTCACCATCTATGGCCACTGGCACGCTGGAGAAGTGTGCTCTTCACGGATTAATCCCGGTTTCAACTGTACCAGGCAGATGGCAGACAGCGTGTATGGCATCGTGTGGGAAAGCGGTTTGTTGATGTCAACGTTGTGAAAAGAGTGCCCCATGGTGGCGGTGGGGTTATGGTATGGGCAGGCATAAGCTACGGACAATGAACACAATTGCATTTTATCAATGGCAATTTAAATGCACAGAGATACCGTGAAGAGATCCTGAGATCCATTATTGTGCCATTCAGCCGCCGCCATCACCGCATGTTTCAGCATGATAATGCACGGCCCCATGTCACAAGGATCTGCACACAATTTCTGGAAGCTGAACATTTTCCAGTTCTTCCATGGCCTGCTTACTCACCAGACATGTCACCCTATTGAGCATGTTTGGGATGCCCTGGATCGATGTGTACAACAGCGTGTTCCAGTTCCAATATCCAGCAACTTTGAACAGCCATTGAAGAGGAGTGTGACAACATTCCACGGGCCACAATCAACAGCCTGATCAACTCTATGCCAATGAGATGTGTCGCGCTGCATGAGGCAAATGGTCACAGCAGATACTGACTGGTTTTCTGATCCACGCCCCTACCTTTTTTAAAGGTATCTGTGACCAACAGATGCATATCTGTATTCCCAGTCATGTGAAATCCATAGATTAGGGCCTAATGAATTTATTAAAATTGACTGATTTCCTTATATGAACTATAACTCAGTAAAATCTTTGAAATTGTTGAATGTTGCGTTTATATTTTTGTTCAGTGTCGCTCATGTGGTCATCCCTTTACCCTGGGTACTAAGTGACCTTTGATCCGTTGACCTTTGATCTCTTGGCTGTCTGTGTCACTCACCTGTCATAGTCTCCATTACAGAGGGCTCGTACGGGGATGGTGAAGGGCTGCCACACAGGGTTCAGAGTATTCTTTACCACCTCCGTCTTATGGCAGATGGTGAACCTACGGTACACAGCACACACAAGGAGCCCTGAATACAGATACTGTACAGGGATGGAACATAGGCCTTAGAAGTATAAACTACAAATACCAAAGAAGATGGTGAACCTACGGAAATAGAATTACCCATAAGGGTGCAATCGAATGGCCGTGGTCTGAGGGGCTTTTCCCCCCGTTCTAGTAATGTATTTATATGGTCCCCATTTCAACACTGTACACACAAGGACCACTAAGTACAGGGATGAAAAGGCATAGCCCTAGAAGTATAAGCCATAAATACCAAATAAATGAAATTCTTTGTTCTCTCCAAAATACTTGTTGTGACAGATTCATTCATTTGGGTTGAGGCATATATTTGGATCTATATAACAGACAATGAGGGAAGTGAACTCATCTTGACACACACACACACTCACGTTCCGTCTTCATTACTGCGGTAGAAGACCAGGAAGGGGTCTGACTTGCCGAAGAAGTCTTTTTTGTCCAGCTTGTTGGCACACAGCTGCATGGTAGCAATGTCCTGAGAGAAAAGACAAGTCTCAACGTCAAAGCAAGGTGGTGGTTTTAGGTCACCATAGTGACATAAGTAATATAAATGACATATAACTAATATGTCAGCTTAAATTACATATACTGTAACCACAATGTCACTGTTAAACGTCACTATAATGTTGCATTTATATTTTTTTCTGACCAAGTATGTGAAAGTATGGTTCTTGTTTGGGGATGGTTTAGTGGTTGAATTATTGCAACCTTGTAATAAGATAAGGAGTAACTACAAGAGCTTTAAAGGTAAAAGTCGTTAATAAGTATGGTGTGCATATGCAGCTGCAATGCACCTCCGGGACAACACCCATATTCATAATATTTCATGGGGAAACATCTGAGAAAGCAAAAACAACAGACTCATTTGGTTGAGCAAATATCTCCCGAGGAGGAGCAGCCCACCCACATAAATAGAACATTGACTTGAATGGGGATTCCCGTTCTAGTAATTATATTTCTATGAGCCCGACATCCTTTGGAAATCACACCTTTTGGAGATCTGAGTGAGGTGGCAGAATAAACACATTTCATCTGCCTCGCAGCATGCCCCTTCCTCTGTATTTCTGTAATGAACAATATAATGAACTATGTTCTCCATGTCTTAGAGCAGGGCTGACCAACCCTCTTCCTGGAGATCTACTGTCCTGTAGGTTTTCAGTCCAACCTTACTTTAGATTATCTGATTCAGCTAGTTAAGGTCTTGTGGAGCAGCTAATAAGTAGAATCAGGTGTGTTAAATTAGGGTTGGACTGAAAACCCACAGGACGGTAGATCTCCAGGAAGAGGGTTGAGCAGTCCTGTCTTAGAGCAAGGGTCCGCAACCTTTTCTAGCATGAGAGCTACTTTTATTTTAAAGAAACGTCTCGAGCTACTCCTTTTTTCTAGCTTTTCTAGCTTTCAAATAGGCACATTCTTCTCTTCTCCCCTGCAGAAAAGTGCCTATTTGAAAGCTAGAAAAAAGGAGTAACTTGAGACATGTTTAATTTTAGCTATCATGCTAGAAAAGGTTGCAGGTCCTAAGTGTAAAAGAGAAATTAGTGCACTGTTTTCTGCCAATACCTGGTCAAATAATGGTTAATAAACAACTAAGGGGGGGGGCTATCAAATGATGTTCTCATTTTTAATTGTTTGGTGGGAGAGAGATAGAGACAGACAGAGACAGACAGATAAGAGAGAGCAGAGAAAGCAGAAGCGACGAGAGGGAGACAGAAGAGAGACAGAGAGAGACGCGAGAGAGGAGAGTAAAGAGAGAGAGGAGAGAAGAGAGAGACGAAAGAGAGCGAGAAGGGGGCAAGAGAGAGAGAGGCAAGAGAGAGACAGAAGAGACAGAGAGAAAAGAAGAGAAGAGGGACAAAACGAGACGAAAGAAAAAGAACAAGAGAGAGAGAAAGAAGAGAGAGGGAGAGTGAGAGTGTATTAACGGAACAGAGCGATAGATACAATTATTCATAACTCTGAGGGCAATTGTCAATGTCGTTATTCACAGTTCGGATGTATATTTATTTGAATATTGTCCGTCTTTCCAGTTGCTCTGTTCAGATAATGATCATCTTTCAATGGTTGCATCCCAAATGGCACCCTATTCCCAATATAGTGCATTAGTTTTGACCAGGGCCCGTAGTGCTCTCAAAAGTAGTCAAAGGTTTTATATTCCCTATGTTGAATGGATGAGAATATGTGTGTGTGTGTGATGCGTGTGTGATACTGACCCTGCAGTTACTCAGTTCCTCAGCGGTGAATATGATGTTCCCACACTTTTTCCCTGGGATCCCACTGGGGAGAGAGAGAGAGAGAGTTCAGGGGAGGAGGAAAGAAAGAAAAAACGAAGAATGATAGGTACTGGTTTAGGGTCCTGGGTCAGTGTTTTGTGTACCTCATTTGCTTTTTAAATGCTGAATTAATTATATTAGTGTGCCTCTTTGTATGCATTCATGTGTACATTGCATGGAAGGTCAAGACCTTGAGTGAAATAGACACACATACGCAAGCATGCACACACAGGCACGCACATGCACGTACGCATGAACACACACACCTCATGTTGACAGATAGAGGTCAGCCCTGATAGCTTTACTAACTCGCATTCAGACTCCAAATCAACAGGTCTGAGAACAGCCCATCGCTCCACATTGAAACCAGTGGCAGAGGCCTGACCTTAGATCAGATGTTGGGATGACTAAATTATTTTTCATAGAAACAGACAGGGGCAGTTCAGGGAGACTTTCCTCCTCCTCCACACTTTTCTACATTCCAAATGGCACCCTATTCCCTTTACACTGCACTACTTTTGACCAGGGCCGATAGAGCACATAAATAGGGAATAGGGTGCAATTTGGAACACAGCCATTGAAGATAGATGACAGATTTGAGATGAGTCATTTTCACCAGGGGACCCATTACCATTAAATCCAAACAAACTAATTCATTTTAGGGCTGATTGGAGTGTATCAAATGATGTATGAGGAGATCAGGGTAATTGTAATGGAATTAGATTTTAAAAGGAGGCCAGACGGACTGATGTTAAGAGGGGAATACCTATTTAACAAGGGGGCGGCGTTTTCATTTGCTGTGAGCGATGCTTTCAAAATAGCTTAAATAGATGTGTATCAATGATAGAGACAGGAAAAAAGCATTAGGTTTCTCTTCCCAAGAAGAAGATTGGTAGAAGCAAAAACCAAATAAACATTTCACCTAAAATATTATTCACGGGTTGATTCTTATAAGAGAATTACAGATGGTCAAATCCAGCATGTCATAAAATGATTTATTCCATCCAGTAGACATTGCACTAAGGCTGGTAAGCGTGTCTATAGGATGATTAACATTCTCGCTGTGAGTTTCAAGGGTGTAATCATAAACACCCGTGCCACAAACACACACCCTGAAGCGCTCACAACAGCCTGAGGTGGTATGCGCACCGGTGACAATTTACCACACACACACAGACACACACATGTCTGGTTGACAGCCTCTTCACAAGGCTGTTTATAATGCTTACAATGCCTTTTGAACCTTCTTTACCCCAGCGTTCCATGTACTCAGATCTTCTCTATTCTCCGCTATGCCACTGTGACACACAGATTTCTTGACAAGGGCACACACAGAGCTGGTTGCTGTCAGAAGACACCCTAATACCCTCAGTTCTGGTAAACACACACGTTTGCACGTACACGCACAAACACAGAGACACACAGACACACAGAGACAGGCACGTGCAAAGATAGGAGTCTAACTGTGCCGAGCACATGCCCCTTTGCCCTCCCACTCGCCAAGTGCCCTTTTGGGTGGTGATATAATTTTCTGGTGGCCGTTAAAAGCCAAGCTACAGCATTATGAACTAACTATAGACGATGGAATGATTTTTGACTGAGACGTGTACAAAGAGTTACAGTAATCTAGGCATGAGGAAATAATACTGTATAACTTCCTCCAGATCAGTGACTGTGTCACGTTGTATAATGATTAGAAGACAGGCGCAGGAATACGTATTAGGTGTTTTACTTACTCCAACCAACACAAGGTACGTCATGGAAAACGACGGGGACGAAGCCCAAAACAGACACGTAAATATATAACAAAGGGATGCAACCCAAACAAAAGAGCGAGGTGTAACCTCTACACAATACAGGGGATGAGACCCGTAATAACAAGAGCACAACACACGGTACTCACGAGACCAACGGACATGGGACAATAATCGACAAGGACAATGGGGAACAGAGGGCACATATATACACATACTAATCAGGGGGAATGGGAACCAGGTGTGCGTAATGAAACAAGACAGTCTGGGGTTGATGGTAATGATCCAGGTCAGTGACGCCTAGAAGGCCGGTGACGTAGACCTCCAGAGCTGGTGAACGGAATGAGCAGCAGTACCGGGGGGATCCGTGACAGACTGAAATAAAAGACGACTTTAGCAATATTTATTCGATGATAAAAGCAGGACTGGGCAACCTTCTATACATGCAGCTCAAGGTTTAGGTCAGGGTCAAAGAAGACACCAATGTTTCTGGCCGTAGGCTTTACATTGGTGAACAAATGACCAAGGCTATTTACAATCATCCCTTCTTCAGTTCTGAACCCACTGCCCGCAAGTTGTTGAGACATCTTAAAGTTCACTACCGGAAGATAAATCACAATCAGTAAAAAAAAAATCCAACTAGCTAACTAGTAGATTTACATAAATCATCAACATCAGTGATCAGCTGATCGCCCACCCTCTTTTCCCGATGTCAATCCTGTCTTTAGGAGGCCCTGTAACTAGCTTGCTTACAATTTGTGATGAATGTGTTGTTGCAGAAATAAATAGGCCCTTATTTCATTTTGGGCTCTGGTCCAAAGTAGTGCACTATATAAGAAATAGCATGCCATTTGGGACATTCTCCATGCAAAACGGCACACTATTCCCAATATAGTGCACTACTGTTGAATTTCAAGTGCACTACTTTACAAGGAGAAGTCGTGCACTATATAGTCCAGGGAATATGGTGCCATTTCAGATGCAGCCACAGTGGAACACACATGCTACAGGCTATATGGTGTGATTCCACTGGGCACACCACGTCATTTCAACGTGTATAATTGGGTCATATTTGGTTGATACGTTGATCAATGAGATTACAACCTATATTCACCCACTCAACAAGACAGCCAAAAGTTAGTTGTCACTATGCTTTCAACCATTTAAAAGCACAGCAAAGTTCAAATGGGAATACAACGTCAGATATTTTATTTATTTATACAACAGCTTAATGTGTTATCACTGTGCTTCGTCTAATAGCAGAACCAAATGACCTGGATTGCAGTTGAGATTACATTAAAAGTGTATGGCGCAGTGATCAATGCCATTAGAGATTCTAGGCAGATTATTACAGCAATTGTGAAGTTCTCCGCAGACCTTCTACGACCTAAGCATGCTATTTTGAACATGCATGCTCTATGATTACATAAGAAGTAAATGTATAAAGTGCCTTCAGAAAGTATTCATACCCCTTGACTTATTCCACATTTTGTTGTGTTACAGCCTGAATTCAAAATTGATTAAATATTTTTCTCACCATCTACATTCAATACCCCATAATGACAATTTCAGCAAATGTATTCAAAATTAAATACAGAAATATCTCATTTACACAATTATTCACACCCCTTATTCAATACCTTCTATAAGCACCTTTGGCAGTGATTACAGCTGTGAGTCTTTCTCAGTAAGTCTCTAAGAGCTTTCCACACCTGGATTGTGTAACATTTGTCCATTATTCTTTTCAAAATTCTTAAAGCTCTGTCAAATTGGTTGTTGATCATTGCTAGACAACCAATTTTCAGGTCTTGTCATAGATTTTCAAGTAGATTTAAGTCAAAACTGTAACTCGGCAGCTATATATACAGTAAAATAAAGTGACAGTAGGGAGGCTATATATACAGGGGGGTACCGTTGCAGAGTCAATGTGCGGGGGCACCGGCTAGTTGAGGTAGTTGAGGTAATATGTACATGTGGGTAGAGTTAAAGTGACTATGCATAAATACTTAACAGAGTAGCAGCAGCGTAAAAAGGATGGGGGGGGGGGGGCATTGCAAATAGTCCGGGTAGCCATGATTAGCTGTTCAGGAGTCTTATGGCTTGGGGGTAGAAGCTGTTGAGAAGTCTTTTGGACCTAGACTTGGCACTCCGGTACCGCTTGCCGTGCGGTAGCAGAGAGAACAGTCTATGACTAGGGTGGCTGGAGTCTTTGACAATTTTGAGGGCCTTCCTCTGACACCGCCTGGTATAGAGGTCCTGGATGGCAGGGAGCTTTGCCCCAGTGATGTACTGGGCCGTACGCACTACCCTCTGTAGTGCCTTGCGGTCAGAGGCCAAGCAGTTGCCATACCAGGCGGTGATGCAACCAGTCAGGATGCTCTCGATGGTGCAGCTGTAGAATTTTTTGAGGATCTGAGGACCCATGCCAAATCTTTTTAGTCTCCTGAGGGGGAATAGGCTTTGTCGTGCCCTCTTCACGACTGTCTTGGTGTGTTTGGACCATGATAGTTCGTTGGTGATGTGGACACCAAGGAACTTGAAGCTCTCAACCTGTTCCACTACAGCCCCGTCGATGAGAATGGGGGCGTGCTCAGTCCTCTTTTTTTTCCTGTAGTCCACAATCATCTCCTTTGTCTTGGTCACGTTGAGGGAGAGGTTGTTGTCCTGGCACCACACGGCCAGATCTCTGACCTCCTCCCTATAGGCTGTCTCATCGTTGTCGGTGATCAGGCCTACCACTGTTGTGTCGTCGGCAAACTTAATGATGGTGTTGGAGTCGTGCCTGGCCATGCAGTCATGGGTGAACAGAGAGTACAGGAGGGGACTGAGCACGCACCCCTGAGGGGCCCCCGTGTTGAGGATCAGTGTGGCAGATGTGTTGTTACCTACCCTTACCACCTGGGGGCGGCCCGTCAGGAAGTCCAGGATCCAGTTGCAGAGGGAGGTGTTTAGTCCCAGGATCCTTAGCTTAGTGATGAGCTTAGAGGGCACTATGGTGTTGAATGCTGAGCTGTAGTCAATGAAAAGCATTCTCACGTAGGTGTTCCTCTTGTCCAGGTGGGAAAGGGCAGTGTGGAGTGCGATAGAGATTGCATCATCTGTGGATCTGTTGGGGCGGTATGCAAATTGGAGTGGGTCTAGGGTTTCTGGGATTATGCTGTTGATGTGAGCCATGACCAGTCTTTCAAAGCACTTCATGGCTACAGACGTCAGTGCTACGGGTCGGTAGTCATTTAGGCAGGTTATCTTAGAGTTCTTGGGCATGGGGACTATGGTGGTCTGCTTGAAACATGTTGGTATTACAGACTCAGTCAGGGACATGTTGAAAATGTCAGTGAAGACACTTGCCAGTTGG